GCGTTAGTTCATTTGCCTTTGTTATATAAAGACATAATTAGAAAAAAAATGTGGTGGCATATTTCTAACACAAGTCTAGAAAAAATGTATGTTCGTGACTTGCGTAGACTGCGCGTAACAGCCCGAGTTTATTTGTTTCCCGTGTGTCGTTTCAATTCGTATTATGTTAGGTTAGGTTTGCGGTTTGTCAGTTTGCTTCGTTTCGTTGTTATTCATCTTTACTTTGACGCTATTTTATGTGATAATTTGTAGGTAGTGTGTGCAGTTGTGGTAATTGTAAGGTGCATATAAAATAATGAATATTGATGCAAAATGTTTAAAACGATATGTGTAGAGATTTCCAATTTTGCGTCACATCTACCTAAACATAGTTATTTATACCCACTCCCACTACCTATTATAGACAAGAGGACAAGGGACAAGAACTAAGAAAATGGAACATGGAACTTTGTATACGTTTCGATATAATTTGAAGAGCAACTACTTAGTCAGTGAGAACTATTTGAAATATGGATGAATCAAGTGAAATAGACATCATTTATTTTACATTTTGTACAAATGTTTATATTTGTTTATGTGTATAGGCATGCTTAAATAAAAGAGTTTAGGTATACCTACAGATATCTTTGTCAAGATATCATTTTGTATACTTATTTCTGCTGTATAATTTATTATTATTCAAAGGATATATGTAATATTGACCATGCGTAGAAGAAATTATAACTTTATATTATTTTTCAGTAATGTTATTTGTTTTTCATGTTCCTACCATTTTAAGATTCATAATCATAACTAACTTTTTCTAATTATCAGTTCGTCATTGTTACCATATTCATGATGGTCTCAACATTAGAAAATTTCCATTTCAGAAGCGTATTTGAACAATATAAAATGTGTAGCTTTTTTTTAATGCTTCTGATATTGTTTTGTGATATTTTTATTTGTACGATGAATGGCAAAATTCATAAACCATATTAGAAACTTTTTTCAGTGGCTTCTCAAAAAGAAAGAAATTCTTAGTAAAAGTTGCCGCATCCCCAAACTAGAAGAGCATATTTATTTTTTTAATATACAATGTAACTTTTTTTAGTTCGAATTAAGTCATTCACAATACAAATAAAAATATCACAAAGGAGTACTTATTAGAGATATTTAAAAAAATACTCACACTATTTATACTATTTCAAAAACGCTTTTGAAATGAAAATGATCTAAAGTTGAGAGCATTATGAGAACAATATGGTACTAAAATTATTATGTTACTCAAACATTTCTGAAAATATACTGAAACGTAAAACAAAAATATCGAAGGCATAAATGGAACATAAAAAGAATGTTACTGAAACCAATTTTTTGAAACGTTTCATTGGAAACGTATTTTGGGGAGGACATCTTGGGCTTCTAGAACGTTACCAGAACGTTGCATGGATTTTTTATGAAACGTTTCAAGAAAAATGGAAACGTTTCTGAAACATGTCAGAAACTGAAAAATGTTTAGTGGGTATCCACACGACAGTCCAAACAAGGGTTAATAAAAACCGCGCGAAACCTTCACTAACGAACGATGACGCTATCATATGTGCGCCATCTAGTGAGAAATAAAGGGACGCGTATGCATACGTAAGACAAGGATAAATGCTGCGTTGCCAAAGTTCTGTTGCAGAGGTGCCATAGTTTCAGAAGTTTTCACCAATAAAAGAAATGTCTTAAATAAAATTAAATAATAATGAAATTAAAGACGTAACTTCGCTTTTGCGAGAATCATTTTATTAAATAAATGATGAAACTTCTTAAATTTACTTCCCAATGTTTAATTTCGGAACTAGATATGACAACATCGACCTACCTTTTATTATATCGTTCAAGGCAGCTGATTGGCTGAAATAAAAAATCTGCTATAACTTTTTAAATTCAATCAATCTGCTGTTCTAATTTCAATAGACGTACAGAAAAAGAAACTAAACGTTACACAAAAATAAATCCCATATTGAAAATAAGTAGGTACATAGTATGGTAGTTATTCTACGGAACTAATACAAAAACGTCATTTTTTAGCCAGAAGATGGGGGAAATAAGAATATAAACCTTGTTTACGGAAACCATATTTAGGTATGTAAAAATATTTTTTAATCGCGTGAGTTAAATCACTGCAACGAGTTTTATCTCCACTTTCCATTTTTTTGTTATAACCGATATGTTCTGAATATTAATGAAAAGTGTAAATTAACTGTGCACCGGCTGTGCACTCAAGTGCAATATTTTCTATTCCAAGGGATGCGCGTCAATTGAGGATATTTTAATAATCTTGCTTGCAACATAGTTCTTTCAAACGCAATGGAATCACATCAATATTAATTGATGACTATAAAACTGTAATTGTTCAAGAATTTCCGGTATCTTTAGGTGTAGCTTCATTCAATATTGAATTATACATCTATCTTGTATTGATATCGTTAATATTAACTTGAAATTGGTGCAAAAGTTGCGAATTAACAAAAATGTATATATTAATTATTCTAGAATCTAGAACACAATTTAATATCGTCATATTTTACAAAAAAACATTTTTATCTCTATTTAAAAATATGTTTTAAGTATTTTCGTCAGTTCTTTTTATAATGTCAAAGAAACACATAATGTCTTTTATTGTTTATAAAATAGTGTTTCTGCTTTTTACATATACTTTTCAATTAATTGTATATTTCTGAAATAACCTTGCCTTGATCATGTTATTCCCAAGACGATTTTTTTACAAATAAATAATTAACGTAAATTTTCTTAAATCATCTAAAGAGCGACATTTTCATGAAAGCGATACACGCATTCCACAGCACACTCGGACTCTCCCGTGGGCTGAAAACTAATAAGCGTATTGCCGTTACTTGAGCCACTATCGGTTTGATCTGTATTTAAGTCATGATTTTATCGGTTCCATGAACTAGATTATTAAACGATAATTAGTAACAATTAATAACTGGTCTAAGGCCCTGCTGTTTGCAATTAAATGTATGTGTGTTCTGTTATATTGATTATAACTCGCTGGATGGTTAATATAACAATAGTGATTACTTGAACTTGAAAATTATTGTGTTTCACGTTTATTGCCTTTAGTAAAACTTATATCCCTCTATCGGCGGTTTATCAAAGTAAGTTAAACTTCGAGTGGTTGCTAAGGTATGCGACATCTGATTGGCTGTTGCTAAGGAATTAACAAATGATCTCAATAAACAATAAAAACTATAGAATAGTAATCAGGAAGAAATAGTGATAAAGTCGTTTATCTAAGGTAGGAATGAAATGAAACTTTACACTTTATTAGGCAAGTTCGGTATTATAAAACAATTATAATGAGAAAAATTGAGAATTTTCAAATATCTCGTTAAAATATGCTTTGTGCGGACGTCTCGACGATGACATTTTATTCCAGTCTGTTGAATTTTTTCCATAACGAAATTGTAAACATTATGACACCGTCAAAGTTGCCACAAAATAATGTAGTTTTCATAAAATGTGTCGAAAAGCAAGAACTTTTTTTATAATGTAGATATTATTTTATGGACAATTTCTATAACTCAACATGTAAAGTAAGTACTGTATATTTATAAAGATATTTATTTATTTTGACTTACAAAATATCTGTATAAAAATGTTTCCTGGAAATGAAGTAAAGCAAATAATTTATTACTATTTCCACAAAAAAAATAGATTTACTCAACCGAAATTTTGAATAAACTACAAATACTTACCTACCTTTTAGTTTATTTGCTGATTTTTAGAGTACGTAAACAATTAAATGCAGATATTTTTTAACCCACTGTACATTAGAAGATAAATTAAAGTTAAGTAGGTCTTCATAATTTCATATTTGCATAGTTTTCATTCATACATCCCGGACATAAATAATAATATTTAATAACAACAATGTGACGCAAGTTCCTCGATTTTATCTTTGTATGAATATTCAAGTCGAGTGTTAATCCAGCTTTTGACCGAGTTTTTACATGAGCAACCATATACGACAGAAACCGAACTGTACCTAGTTGACCATAAAAACGCATCAAAATAGAAGGGTGACACGAAAAAGATATTCCTTTTATTACTTTCCCATTATTTTTACTACAAAGAAACTGAAATGTAAGGAATAACAATAAGTATAAGTATACCCATAATTGCTCTTGCTAATACAAATTCTGCAGATTATATAATTTTTAATGCTATTTCACAATGTTTACAAATAATTGGGACCGATTAAATTTAATTTTGTAAATTTTTGGGTAATTTCTTAATCAGTAAGTGGGTACTTAAGTGGGGAATGTATAAAATATGATAATTACTTTAATTTCGTTCCCAGAAAAGATAAGGACATTTTTATGCATTTATAAATACATATATTATAAATCATGTCCATGAATTTTGATTCATAACTTAAATAGAAAATTAAATTTTCTTTTCTTCCATGGAAATCTATTTTTTTGTATGAAAAAAATTATACATTTTTATTTATTTCCATATGTCTATAAACCTATTTTAAATATATCTGTACTTTTACTAGACAACACAAACAACGTAAGCCTGTATAAAAAGTTGCCTATACTTATAGCAGCCCACGATTTTCAAAATATCTGTTTAAAGTTACTTTCATCCAATAATTACAATTTGTTTAATATTATTTATTCAGGTAGAAATATATTTAATTATACCATTAATATTTTCTTAGAAATGTTATCAAATATGATTGGTACTGAATGTTAGTGATTATCTACTTTACCTGCTCAAGCGCGACCTTACTTAATATCATTTAGGAACCTCTTAAGTATTTACTAATTTATTTGCTAATAACTTTACCTGAACAATACGTTTAATGTGTTTATGAGTAAGTAGAAACGCCAGTTATGAGAAATAGTGAGCACCGATTTTCCTTCCCGCCTGTATTTAAAAGTGTTGATGAAGCTTCCATCTTGGAGGTTAGTTTGAAACTACCTCACATCTCACATCAGTTCGCCATATTTAATCCTCGTGTGGTGAAAGTATCGTAGAAAATGTGTTATTTTATAAGAAAATATTTATATTTGAATGTAAGCTTTTAATAGTTAAGTGCAATCATGGAAAAGGACCTTAACGACAGTGCAGTGCATAATACTTACTTGAGGGAATCTGATAGTGACAAGGTATTATAATAATGCGTTCTTTATACGATGTTCGCGCGTTCTCATCTCTATAAATAGCTATAACCGAACGTTTCTTAATATTTAAAAATTTCTCTGTGCTTATCATTATTGCAGTAGTTATTGTTGAGGTGCTACAGGTAAACGGTTTTTGCACCTGAAGTAACCTATATTTGTTCAACCTTGAGATGTGATTTTTAAGTTCGACTACCATTCAGTTGTACCCTCGGTTATACCAAAATGTTTTTCTTTTTTTTTAGTCATTTGTTGGAAAAGTTAAATCTATAATAAGTAATACCCCGTTATCCAAATGGTTTCGAAAACAAGATGACAACAGGCCCGTTATAAGGAGGCGTGATGAGGTTTTCGAAGACGAAGACATTTCCGAGATACAGCCCCCCTCGAAGAAGGCAAAGTTACCTGCAGGGGACGGGGGAAATCAACGTAATAATGTACTCTTCAATGAAACTCGCAACCCTGCACCAAACAGTGTGTCAAACCATATATTCAACAAAATCCCCGAACCGGTGGCTGGTCCGTCTGGTCTGAAGTCCCACAAATTACTTAGCGGCGCCACGACCGTCACAGCGAGTGGCACACGGGGCACATTCAGTAGCAACGAGTTATTAAACGGACATTCCGATAGTGAAGAATCTACAAGTGGTTATTCTTCCGTGGTGAGGATCGGCAGCAAGGAACAAGTTTGTGGGAGCCAGGAGAGTTCCAAGCAGGCCTCACCCATGCAAACCAGTCCGAGTAATCCCAGGTCTCTGTTTCATAAGTCAAGTGAGTTAGTTTTTTCTTTGGTTGATTTAATTTAACGAAGTTAGGCGGCAAATATATAACGTAAGGGGGCAGTACAATTTTTTTAGTGGTAGCTACAGATTGAAATTATTGTAATATGTTTACAGAATTTTTGGTGGAAAAATGATTTGAGTTAATTTAGGTTGAGTGTTTAAACTTTTAATATGTACTCTGTTGTAGTTTTTTTTTAAAGTAACTTTAGAAGTAGTTGATTAAAACCTAAAAAAAAGTATTTTTTTTATTGATTTTGTTGCGAATTCTATGTAATTTGATTAATTCAAGAGTAAATAACATCCTGATAAATATCAAGTGTCTCATCGTCATTCTTGTTAATACCTAAACGCGAGATAAGTTTATTTGTTGTAAATTTATGTGACACTATTATCCCGAATAATAATAACGGCAAGATATTTATCTTAGACGAATTACAATATGTACTCTATCATTTCAGATGTAAGGTCGAATAGGTCACTATTTTCGGAAAGAAGCCCCAACATGAACACTTCTTTGAGTTCGAGGAGACCTAATTTCAACGCCTCCACTTTTGGTTCGCCAAATTTCATCGATAAAACAATCTCCACGAAAAGAATTATTAATTCACCATTTTATAACGGGAAAACTATATACGGCGGAGCGTCGGCATATGGCCGCAGTTTGGGTAGAAGCTCGCAGGACCTGAAAACGTCCCTAAGAAATTCCATTCATATTAAACCCGTTAATAAGACAGAGAATGGGAATTTAGTGCTGGGGAAGACGGCGCGGAGAATATTAGACACCATAGAACAATACGGTTCGCCTGTTAACGACGCCAAGAAAATTCCCATTGTCTCGAGAAAGTTACGACAGGACGGTTTATTGTCGAAATACACCGGAGCGAATCCCTATACCCTCCGGGAAACCAGGGGCCCACCTAATAAGGAACTTCAAGTACCGACGGTCCCGGAACTGTTAAAGATGAAAACTCGTTTACAGGAAAGCACGGAGTCCGTTAGACAGTTAGCGACTTCGTCAAAATCCAATTTAAACACCGAGTACTACAAAATATCAACTAAAGAAGACGAGAAAGAGAAACACACGGGCAAAATAAAAACTAAAGTCACCTCGGTGAGATCAAAGTACGGGAGCAACGAAGCCGTTGGCGAAGTAAATCTCGCACCTGTGTCTCTCCCGATAACGACCCTCCCGAAATTCGATTTCGTAATCCCACCTCCCCGTCCCACCAAAACCGTTCTGGATAACCCGACACAAACCCACACTTCCAAACCGCCTAACACTCGAACTTCCCCGAGAATTACACAGACTGAGACGAGCGTACAAATAGAGAAACGAACCACCACATCCACCATCATGGAATACAAGTTTTCCGAGCCGCTTGTCATAGCCGAGAACGGGAAATCTATCGTGGCGATAAACAACTTTAAGTTTAGCGAACCCCCCGCCTGCACCAAAAAATCCGCAATGTTGAACTTCAAGATGCCCGAGAACAAACCACCGTCACTAATTGGCAAGAAAATAAGCGAAAGCCCGGTCAAAACGGCAAAAGCATTGAAGTCGGGCAGCATAACGGATATTTTAGGAACGGTGCACTCAATTTTGGATAAGTTCAAGCCGGCCCAGGGCACGTGGGAGTGCCCGGTGTGCATGATCAGGAACAAGCCGGACAAAACGAGATGTGCCGCCTGCGAAATGCCAAGAACGGCACCCGTGAAACCCGCTGAAACTAAAAGCACCTTCGGCTCCCAGTTCAAGTTGTCCCCCGACAAATGGGAGTGCGGCTCGTGCATGGTGCACAATAACGACGCAGACAGTAAATGCGTCAGTTGTACCGCACCTAAACCGAGCTCGGCGACGGATAAACACGTTCCGTCTGGGTTCGGCGATAAATTCAAGCCGTCTGGTGATACTTGGGAGTGCGACACCTGCATGATCCGTAACAAAAGCGACCTGAGTAAATGCGCTGCTTGCGAAACGCCGAACCCCAAAGCCGGATCGCAGAAGACGGGTCCGAGCGGCGGCATTACAGGGTTTGGCAGTGCGTTTAAATCGAAGAACGACGAGTGGGAGTGCGGTACCTGCATGGTACGGAACAAGGAATCCAACACGAAATGCCAGTGTTGCGAAACTCCCAATCCTAAGAGCGCCCCATCGAACAGCCCCGCTTTGGGGTTGCTGAAAGACAAGAAGCCCATGTCTTCGTTCAATTTTGGCATCGACAAAGCCGCAGCGACTAGCTTCAGTTTCGGTATTCCGACAACCGTCGCGGTTTCTAAGACGGACGCACATGTGGGGTCTGTCTTTGGGAATAACTCCAAACCGGCTGCGACCACCCCGGCTATTTTTTCGTTTGGTATTCCTCCGCCCGCTCAGGAAAAACCAAAAACCCCTGTGTCTTCGGCTCCTAAACCGTCCGTGGAGCCTCCCAAACCTAATGCGACAGCTCCAGTATTACCCACCGCTAGTAATCCTTTGAAACCCGAAGAAAAACTACCGGCGAAGACGGAAAGCGCCCCTAGCGAATTTAAATTGACTCCCGTCGTGAATAAGGAACCGAATATCTTAAAACCGGAAGCACCCGACAGTAATAAACCTGCTTTTAATCCGAAGCTCCCAACGGCCAACGGGGAAATCAACAGCAATCCGTTTGGTAATAAAACGGACACGACGGCTGCACCGCCGGTAACCAGCTCGGGGGTTTTTGCTTTTGGAACAAAGCCGGCGGTGGTCGCTGCTCCCATAGTACCAACCACGCAGCCTAGTCAATCGGAACCGGCAAAGCTCTTGTTTAAATTCGGGTCCGCTACGGAAAACCCCCCGTCTTTCCCCTCGGCAAAGCCAGCGGCGACCTCTCTAAACAACGGATTTGGAAGTACAAACACCGCTTCCTTCGGCGTGTCCAACAAACCAATGACGAATTCCACGGAAGTGAAGCCTTTTGCTTTTACCAGCGGTTCAACGGCCAAGGATGCCTCCGAACCGGCCAGTAAGGTTCCCATGTTCTCGTTCAGGCAGTCTGCCAGTACCGCGACGACTCCTAAATCGTCGGGATTCAACTTCGGTCCCACCACTACCCCTTCCTTCAACTTCACCGCCGGCAAGACGGAAAGTCCCGCTTTCAACGCTACTCCGGCCGCTAATATGTTTGGGGGAGCGACCAACGCGGCCCCCCAGAACGGGACGTTCAATTTTGGAAGTATGGCTTCGAGCAACAACAACCAGAAGGCCGGTTTCAGTTTCGGCGCTGCCGTTAACAATGCGGGCGGCTCGGGTTCTCAGTCGGGGTTCGGTTTTGGAGCACCCGCCTCTACGGTGAGTGACGGTGTAGCGTACGCATTGGATCTTGTTTAATTGTGTTTTTGTTTACAGTTTGCATCGACGTCGGGAGGGTTTAACTTCACGGGGGTGGCGCCCGCTTTCAACGCGTCTGCCAAGCCCTCGTTTAACTTTACGGATGGGAGTGTGACGACTTTTTCGTAAGTACAGTTTATTTTATCTTTTTTTGTCGAAATATGAAAATGGTATTCACGTATTTTAACAATATTTAGCTGGCGAATGGATGAAACGATTGTTTGTCTGACGTGAAAACTGTTTCACAATAATTAAAATTAATAATAATAAGCATTCTTTTCAAGATAATAGAAATTTAGAAAGAATTATATTATTTAGAAACATTAAAATTGATATTACACCCCGAACAGTTACTTACGTTAATTCCCTGAGAAGTAATTGTGGAGGTATTCGGGTTAACAGCAATACCATCGTCGACGTCACCTGATGACGCTGATGTCAAGGTGGAAGGTTCTCTAACAGGGTTCGTAGCGGCCGGGAATACCGGGGAAAGGCGGAGAATTCGTTATTTTTCATTAAAAAAACGGGGAATAGTCGGGAATTTAAAAAATATTCATGAAAGTCGGGGAATTTGATGTTTGCAACTGGAAATTTTGTGAAAGCCAGGTAACACTTTTTTTTCTGATTTTTCGTTTTTATTTCTCATTTCCGCAAATATAAACTTAATTTTGACGGAACTTGGTGAAAGTATTAACTTCCTGTGTCTTAAATAACCTCAAATTCTTTTATATAAAAAAGTCAAGAATTTTCCGAGATATTCATTTGTTCCGGTCTGAAAAACTTTTTTTTCAGAGAAAAATTCTACTTAGAAAAATCGTTGTACAGAGTTCTGCCGGTGATAATTTTTTTCGTTTTGACATTCTTTTTGGTGAAATCAAAAAATCTGTTATCACAGTTCAGTAACATGCTCAAAAATGCAAAAAATTAAAAAATGACGCAGCAATGAATTTTTCAGTAATTATTGATAATTTGTTTAAATTCAAAATTATCAAAAACTAATTACACCATTCAATTGTTCGGAAAAAATACAAAAAAAAACTGTCATTGTTTGACCCAAAACTATTTTTGTACAGTATTGCTATAAACATAAGCCGAATAGTTAGAAAAAAGTTGTGTTATTTGAGGTTATTTAAGACACAGAAAGGTATACTTTCACCAAGTTTCAACAAAATTAAGTTATGTTTGCGGAAATGAGAAATAAAAAAAGAAAAAACAGAAAAAAAACTGTTTTTCGCATTTTTTTCGAAAATTTTGAGGTTTTCTTAAAAAGTGACTTCTACTTTTGTATTAGATACGTTTTTGTTTGATGTCAACTTTCGCCAGAAATCCCAATGATACAATTTTTCACAACTTTCAACCCCCCAAATCAACCCTCCGTCGCCCCTGCTCACGCATTTATTTTTTTTTTCGTTTATTATAAGCCCTTTTACCATTTCCACTTATAAAAGTCCAGGTAACAAATTTCTTTTTTTTTCCCCTCTAATAGTCCACAGTACAGGCCCCCTCTGGAAAGTTGATTACCACATACTTTATAACTCCTGAGGAGCTTCGTTTTGACGAGTCTATGACATTTTACCTCTGCGACTTTTCTCGATTCCTCCGCTTTTCCACTCGGAAAAGTCCAAAAACATGGCAATTACCCGGGGTCTTGAAAACTCAAGACCACATCTTTTATTTTTAGCTTCAGTAACTGGAAATTTTGTTGCAAATGCCGATTTAAATTTGTCCGACAGAAATTCCTCCGACATTGACGCCTCTACCGGTCGAAACATGCCAAAATAACAGGGTATTGAAAATCAATTACCACATAGGTAATTTTTAGTAAAATTAATTGTAAATAATTAATTCAGTCAAAAAGTATTGTTGTCCGACAAATTTCAAGCCGCGTTTTTTCAGTCCGACAGCTGGAAATCGGAATTTTCACGGGGTATGAAAAATCGATTACCACATATCTAATTTTCATTTTTTCCACTTTTAAATTTACTGTACAAAATAGTGATATAAGTGTCCGACGATTTAATGTCCGCAAATTATTAAAAAATCAATAAATCAATAAACGTGATGAAATTTAATTTTTTCACTCCAAAAATTTCATATTTATAAATGGTTATTAATTATTATTATGTAAATTATTATTTGTTTCAAATAAATAATTATAATATTGCTTATTTTATGCTTAAAAATTTAAAAGTTATAAACAAATGAAGTTATTTTTGAGGCGATTAATACGATCTTAGTGCATAATGCATTATTTCTAAATAAATTAATATTATACTTGATATAAAAATCCTTTTTTCTCTTTCAAGTTTTCATTCGCGTTTGTTATTTTTCTTTACAAAAATTTTCCTATTTTTCTAAAAGAAAATCCCAAAACTTTTGTGCATAATTTTTTTACACCATACATACTTTTTTGAAATCGTTTAATTCTTTTCTCGATATTTATTTGGCTAAATTGAGCATATAGAGATTTACAATTACAAGAATAAAACGAAAAATATATACAGGGTGTTTCAGAAAGACCTCCCGTAAATAAAGAGGGTGATAGTATGATAAAAAATGAGAATTTTTTGTCTTATGAACTCTATGTCTATCTCCTCTTGTTTTCGAGATACAGAGAGACAAAATAAAATTTTTTAAATAACATTTTTATGAAAATTTCCAAATAGTGCGAAATATTTTTATGAAATTTGGTAGCCCGAGGTTTTTAAGGGTGCCAAATACGCTAGTCTAATTATTTTTTGTATATTTCATAGAAAGCGCTAGTTATGCTACATTCTTATTACAATTTAAGTTATATTTTTTTTAAGGTTAGGTTTTTTACCAGTCGGGCTCTAATTTCTATTGTACAATTTTATTTTCTAAAAATAATGTACTCTTGTTAGAACTTCCTAATGTGGACGATTTTCGAGAAAAAAGGCTTTTAATTAAACTCTTACAATATTACACTATAAAATAAGTGACTTTTCTCAAAGTAAGCTTGAGCTTTGAGAAGAGGAGATAGACATATAGTTCATATGACAAAAAATTCTTATTTTTTGTCGTCCTCACCCCTTGTATTTACGGGAGGTCTTTCTGAAACACCCTGTATTGTATATTTATATGGAATTTTGCTTAATACATGAAAATACCTTATTAGAAATTATAACGTGCACATTTTTTACGATCTTTTTTTGTTGGACTGACAATTTGCGGATATATTTTTGTCGGACATGACAATTTTTGCTTATAAAAAACACTTTTCTATCGCCTGTTACTTTTGTCCGACATGTGGTAATCGATTTTTCATACCCCGTGAAAATTCCGATTTCCGGCTGTCGGACTGAAAAAAGGCGGCTTGAAATTTGTCGGACAACAATACTTGTTGACTGAATTAATTATTTACAATAAATTTTACTAAAAATTACCTATTCCAGGGGGGGGGGGGGGAAATTTTCTATTTCTTAACTTTGATTTTGAACTCAAAACCGTTTAAAGTTAGTATATAATTTTTTTTTGATGTATTACCACACACTGCGATTTACTCACCCTATTATAACTTTTTAATTTTTACCGTTTTGATCTTAGTTGACATGAACGAAAAGTCGAGACTCAGGTTTGCGACCTGCAAATATTAACGATTTTCTTTTTTTTTTGTTTTTGTTGTCTCTCCAATTGTGTAATATCTTGCAGGGCCCAGCCGTCGACGGACGGCGGCGTCGCGGCGCCCAGGAAGATAAAGAAGGCCGTCCGGAGGACGCAGCGATAGTTCGAGGGACCTGTAAATAATTCATGAATGTTTGTCCAGTGTAGTACCGTGTGGCATAATGTAAGAGGTGTGTGTTTGCGCTACATTTATTCACTCATATAATATTATAAATATAAAACAACTAATATTAATAAAGTGCGGATGTTGGTATTAAGAGACGACAGAAGTGGATTTGTTTTCAGACCTATAAATGTTAGCTAGGTACTAAAATATCAACGGGCCATCTGTGAAGATTCAACGGTCGGGCATTCCCCCGCAATGTTGTTAACGCGACGTTTGTTATCCAAAAAAATGAAGTACGCACGTCGTAACGGGAATGCCTTGGACGGGATAATGTTCACGGAGGCGCCCCGGAGGGGTGTAACTCGCGTTACGAACACCTCAAGTGTTACTCCTACATTGTATACCGTAGTGTAGGGCATTCGAAAGGTCTGATCCATAGAATGTAGAATTTTAACTATGACGTTTGGTGGGACGTTTTCATCGGTTGTGCGATGGAGACCCGGGAAAACTTTTGATGAATGGTTATTTAACATATAATATTTATATGACTCGCCGTTACTGGCCCTTTTCTGTGATATTCTCATGGGTCAGGCCCCATACATAATATATACATTATATAAATGGTTATTAATTGCACACAGACAAAACGCATTGCCGGAACTTTTACCGGGGAAGACGTTAGATTTCATTAGAGGCGGATTCGCAGCTGGCGATCGGACGAGAGGTTTATTGCGGTGCAATAGTGATATATTTTTTTATTGCAATCTTACCGTTTTGTCTGTGCTAAGGTTTGAAAGTAGCCTCACTCCTTATTTTTTTTTTTTATCGACGATCGACCTTTTTGTAGAACGCGTTGCAGGAGAAACTTTTCCCTACGATATCGCTTTGGTCACCAGTTAAATCTATGACGGGTTAAATTAAAAAGCGACCCACCTATTTTCTTACGTTCTGGGAAATATCCCGACCCGTAAACGTCACTCAATTCGTTCAGCTCGAATATTAGAATAAATAAAATTTCATTGAGACACATATTTGAACATACAGTAAAGCCCATTCACAGGAATTTTTTTAGGATATACGATTATACAGGGTGTTCCTAAATATCAGGTACATAAGGGAGGGGGTAATTCTTTGGCTTATTTCATTACTAAAAGTTCATATAAACATAGGTCCACAAACGCTTCGTTACCGATCTACAGGGCGTTGAAATTTTAATTTTTTTTTTGTTTTTTCTCTACAGTTCCCAAATTTTTTTAGATATTTAGCTCAAATTTGGAATATAGGTAAAACTGTAGGGCTTCCATCATTGGACATGCCAAATGGTCGTGATATATTTTCGGGTTCATGTTCTTCCCCTAAACTTTTGTGCCGGTGCGCTGCTGGTAAATTCTAAAATCGAAATTGAATTTGATACTTTGTTGAGAAACTTGTTTGTCTCTTATGATTTTTTCGTATCTGCGACCGTTATCGAGAAAAAAAATAAAAAACGATTTTGTGTAATTCGTTAGATGAAATTTAAATTCTTAAAGTGGTCCAGTAGGCTCTGGTTTTATTTAGATAATCTCTTGTTTATTATCCAAATTTGAGCTAAATATCTTAAAAACTATGGGAGCCATAGAGAAAAAACTAAAAAATCTTAAAATTCCAACGCCCTGTAGATCGGTAACGAAGCGTTTGCGGACCTATGTTTATATGAACTTTTAGTCATGAAATAAGCCAAAGAATTACCCCCTCCCTTATGTACATGATATTTAGGAACACCCTGTATACTGGGTGTTTTTGAAAAAGCTACCATAAGTTTGGAAATTTGGAGAAGAATGTTTTTCCCTCTCGTCTTTTGTTTTCGAGATACAGAGTACATTTAAAATGACATTTTACCAAAAAAAAATATAAAAATAGAGAAGATACCAAAAATAACTCCTTTATGTGTGACTAAAATTGTTATTTTGTATTTTTTTTGTCAGTCTACCTTTTCCATCATCATTTATTAACATTAATTTAATTTAGTTCAAAGATCTATATTAAATTGACGTGATATATGCCATATCCAAAAGTTGCTTTTCAGTTTCATTTCAAAAACGAAATTTTCCTGCTCACAAATTCGTCAACGCGGAATTGAAAAAAAGGTCGATTAATTTTTTTGTATATAAGGGTAACCGGTTGGCAACACTGTATTTGTAAATGATGAATAAATCTGTACTGTCTAATTAATGTATTTTTATTTGCTGTGTCTATCGCAGGTTTGAGTTGGTTTCGGGGCCGACCCCCGTTTTTTTTAACGATAAAAAAAGGAGTTAGACTGCTTCTTGTACATAGTATCTAACGGATTTGTTTCGCTGAAAATTTCATTTGGATTTTTTAGGATTCGTACAGCTCTTTCAGTAAACGTATTAATGGAATTTTCAGCATTATTTGTGCCTTTATTTTTTTATTTATATTTTATCTTTTAGAAAAACCGTAAAAACTTGGCCTAGTCTTGTATATTTTTTTTTTTCGGCTACAAGTGTTAATCTTTAAGAGGAAAATATATTACGACAGTTAAGAATTAAAGTAATTGTTTTGTTTTTGAATAGGCATTCCTATATAGTCGGTAATTCATCCGTTAAAGCCAAGTTTTTGTTAAAAAATTTTGTTTTTGGTTAATAAAAGTAATTAGTTAAGATGTCTTTGTTTTTTTTATCATTCCTTTTTATTTTAAAAATTAACTCGCAAGAATTTAAAACGGCTTTATAAATTTGCAAAATATTCCGAAAATTTATAATCTGAGTATGGGTGAGATATAACCTTCAGAGTATTTGTCATTGCTTATTGGCATATGCTTTGTTCTTGTTACTGTATCGTTTGTGTTTGTTCGGTAGGCAACATACAATACAGCATGTGTGTATACTTGGTTGCATAAGAGTCTATAATTTAATATGTTATAGATTATAAGACGACACTAATTGTGACAAGTTTCACAGCGTTGCCAACTTAACATATCTAGTTACTTACCAAAGTCAGTTTAATATCAAAGTGGTGTCGCGGGAAAATTTAAAATACTTTGTAGGTAGTTCTCATTAAATAAAATAATACTAAAGTAATTAAATGAATGCATAATGACACCCAATAATAATAAATTAAGTGTAAAATTTTGTGGTACTTTTTCTTGTTTTTTTTTTTATGTAAATGTACGTAAATTTAATTGTATATCACGATCTTATATTTTCCACAAATACTAATTTTAAATTCACAAAAAGTCATCTGCTAAACTACTAATTTTTACCAAGTTATAATAGTATTATATTGTTTAGTTTATTTTGCTAAATAGGTTTATGAAAGGTAAGTGAATTGGTGCAATCCTTGGGTGCAATAAGTATTAAAGACTAAAAACTTTGATTGAAATATTGAGAGAATATTTCAATCAACATCAAAATATTTTTTTTTAGGTTAGAAAGAATACACAAGGTATATTTTTTTATCGTGGCAATATTCCTTAATGATTATCTTAATATATACTTACCTAAAATTGTTAATGGACTTAGGTAAAACAACAATTGTGCGGTATCAGAAATTAAAAGGTCGATGAAGAAAAATGAGGGTAGTGCAGATGAATAGATCAGAAGGATCAGTTTCAGTACTCAGTAGTTGCTGCAGTTTGACAATGATTTCACAACAATCAATAATCAACCCCTGGCTGATACCAGTGCATTTTTTTAGGAAAAGTGTAATATTTAAATGCAAATTAAAAGACTTATAATAGTTAGAATTTTATTTAGATTCATTTACAGAAATTCTAGACTTATTGCTATACAAAATGTTTACTAATGAATTTTTCTGTCTGAAATTATACAAAATATAAATCAATATACTCAAGACGTAGAGTGTAGATGCGGAAATTAAAAAAATATATATAAACAATATTTATGTTTGTCTTATATTCAAAATATACATAGTAAAATGTGNACGTAAACACTGGGGCGGATATCTAAAAATCGTCTATTTTCCAGATATCCGAGTATTTTTCTAGCACAGAAATATGTCGTAGAAACACACGAGCATATATTTTGTATATACACCTGTTGCATAAAATCTGTTTTAAAGAAAAGTATGTGAAATATGTCGAAAATAAACAATGTTTATCCCCGTCTGCGACCAGCATAAGTTAATACCACACCCATTACAAATGTTATTTTTTAGCCAGATATAACATTTACATCAATACAGGGCGTTTCTAAAATCGCAATGTTGCCAATATAAATCGAACTAGAATTTAGTTGCTTACCAAATTTTATTGTTTAAATTTAGTTGGTATCAATTGAGTTTCACGAGTTTCTGGTGGAGGTAAAATAACCTCACTTTAAATAAGGTTCGTTTGTTTATTTTTTAATAGTTTATGGATTATAGAAAACTTAAGGAAAGTGCCATTCGTTCACATTTTTATTTGTTTTGTTTTTTTTTTATAAATACATTGATTATAATGAAAGCGTCTCCGATTTACATATCATACATTTTTCATTAAAAGAATTTTTTTTCCACATTTTACTATGTATTTTGAATGTAAGACAAACATAAATATTGTTTATATATTTTTTTAATTTCCGCATCTACACTCTACGTCTTGAGTATATTGATTTATATTTTGTATAATTTTTACCAAATGTTATTGCTTTTGTTTACATACATTGGCTTTTCTGTTACCATCAGAAAAATTAATTAGTAAACATTTTTTATAGCAATAAGTCTAGAATTTCTGTAAATGAATCTAAATAAAAATCTAACTATTATAAGTCTTTTAATTTGCATTTAATATTAGTTTTTCTAAAAAAATGGAGCGGTGTTATCAGTCAGGGGTTGATTATTGTGAAATCATTGTCAAACTGCAATTACTGATCCTTTGGATATATTCATCTGCACTGCCTTCTAATTTTTTTCTTCATCGACCTTGTAATTCCTGATACCGCACAATTGTTGTTTCACATTAAGTACATTAACATTTTTAGGTATATATTAAGATAATCCTTAAGGAATATTGCCACGGTAAAAAAATATATCTTGTGTATTCTTTCTAACCTAAAAAAAATATTTTGGTGTGATTGTGGTGTGGTGGTGTTCTCTCAATATTTCAGTCAACGTTTTTAGTCTGTAATACTTATTGCACCAATTCCCTTACCTTTAATAAACCTATTTAGCAAAATAAACTAAACAATATAATACTATTATAACTTGGTAAAAGTGAGTAGTTTAGCAGATGACTTTTTGTGATTTTAAAATTAGTATTTGTGGAAAATATAAGATCGTGATACAATTAATTTTACGTTACACTTACATAAAAAAACAAGAAAAAGTACCACAAAATTTTACGCTTAATTTATTGGGTGTCATTATGCATTCATTTTATTACTTTAGTATTATTTTATTTAATGAGAACTATCTACACAGTATTTTAAATTTTCCCGCGACACCACTTTGATATTAAACTGACTTTGGTAAGTAACTAGATATGTTAAGTTGGCAACGCTGCGAAATCTTGTTACAAATAGTGTCATCTTAGATTATGGGTACATGCCTTAAAAATGAACAACATAGTTTCAAAAATTTGTAGGACTCAGAAAATTCCTCTAGACTAATATCGGTTCTGACCAATCCTTTTGGATTAGAACTGCATTCAGTTTCTTTCCGATTCCACCAATTTTTGAGATTTTCGACATTTCCTGTTTTATTAAATTTTTGTTCTATAGGCAACACACAATACACACGCATGTATACTTGGCTGCATAAAAATCTCTAAAATATTACAGGCTATTACAACACAGTAGGTAAGCAGTTAACCACAAAATCTTTGTTGTAAAATAATGGGGCTCTTCTTCTGTATTCAGTTCCCCCAGTTTTAGATTTTATTTCATGAAACCGTTAGGCAACCAAACTTATAATGCAACATATATTATACAGGGTGACCCGAAATTCATGCAACAAAATTTGGTCATAGATTCTTAAGACAAATTTAGGGGGACCCGTACTTTTTCTTTTTGCACAACTGACCCCCATCTTTCGGAGTTACAGCCCCCTGAAATCTGCCCCTAAGACGTCTTTTTTGTATCTCGGAGCCATGTTGTACGAGAATCACTAAATTTGGGATACAGGCGTTTTATGACATGTGGAATCTCACAGTGCTAAGCTTTTTGACGAGAAACCCCCTTAAGACACTTTTTCGTGGTCCCCCTTGTCTTTGGAACTAGAAAAATTTGGTCACAAATTTGATTCTTTTAAAAATTATTAGTTAGCTAGAAAGCCATTGAATTTAGAAACTTTTTTGTCTCTTGATATTTGTTTTGTAAAACGCAATGTTTTTGAGGAAAATTGTGAATCACGATCACATTTTGACATTTTCCTCGAAAACATTGCGTTTTACAAAAAAAGTATAAAGAAACAAAAAGTTTCTAAATTTAATGGCTTTCTAGTGGACCGATAATTTTTAAGATATTTAAATATGCGACCAAATTTTTTTGGCTATAAAGCGTAGTACTGTGAGATTCCACGTCATAAAACCCCTGTGTACCAAATTTAGTGATTCTCGTACAACAGGGTTCTGAGATATAAAAAAAAGATTATTCTTACAGGCGGATTTCAGGGGGCTGTAACTCCGAAAGAAGGAGCCCCTTCGCAAAAATAAAAAATACGGGTCCCCTAAATTTGTCCTAAGAATCTGTGACAAAATTTTGTTGCATGAATTTCGGGACACCCTGTATAAAAAAATTGTGCATTTTTTTCATTGAAATTACTATACGAACCACTTTTAGTAAAAAAAAGTCGACTCAAATCAGTCGATTCAAAGTGGATATTTCATGTTCCCCTACATAATTTTTAAGACCAAATTCAAAATATCGATGAAATTTCCTGAATGAACTCGAAACCGCAAATTTTAAATGTGAAATTTCGAATTCAAATGTGAAATATCAAATTTGGTGGAAAATTTTTTTTAAACATAAAAATTTAAATTTGGATGTGAAATTTCATGTTTGAATGTGAAATTTAGCAAATAACAAAAATTAGTGGTTATTTCTAATTTAATTAAGAAATTTAACATTTGACTTCACATTTTTGAACTTGAATGTCAAATTCAAAGGGGTAATTTAGTGTTGAAGCTCACAATTTTGAATATGAAAATGAAACTTCAAGTTTACAATTAAATTTAACAATAAAAGTTAAAAAGCATACTTTCAAGCTTAAATTTGATATTCAAAGTGGATATTTCATGTTCCACTACATAATTTTTAAGACCAAATTCAAAATATCGATGAAATTTCATAAATGAAATCGAAACTGCTAATTTTAAATATGAAATTTCGAATTCAAATGTGAAATATCAAATTTGGTGCAAAATTTTGTTTAAAGGTAAAAATTTATATTTGGACGTGAAAATTCATGTTTGAATGTGAAATTTAGCAAATAACAAAAATTGGAAATTATGCGTTTAAACTCCAAATTTAATGTTCAATTTCAAGAAATTTGTGGTTATTTCTAATTCAATTAAAAATTTAGTTTTAGTAAAAAAAGTCGACGTTTTTTAATTTCTTCCGTTTCATTTTCCAAAAATTAAGCTTCAAAGGACGGAACGGGGAGCTTGGGCGAAAGGGTACGAATGAAACGTGATTAGATTAAAAAGATTTTTATGTTACTTGTTTGGAACATTTCAATTTTATAAGATTATATATAACAGACATACACTCAATTACATGGAGACAACTATACAAGTATTTCCTCAGCCAAATAAATGGTGCTAAGTAGGCATAGAATCCTGTGAAAATCAATTTTAAAGTTTTTTTTGCATACAAAGAGACTTGTACTTTCTGAAAACGGGTTCTTTATATATAATATATATAACTGGAACTAAAAATAAATTACAAAATGTAAATAAAGCAATCATATAAAACACAACAGTTGTCATATTCAAAACACCTCGGGGGGAAAAAATACAATATATAAAACGAATTTAATGTAAACCTAGGAAATGAATTGCACCGTCTTAAATATGACAAACGTTTTAAAATTTCCCTTATATTTAAAGCAACAGAACAGAAACATTTAACAGTGTTCATATCACAAGATATTTTGTAGCTTTCTAGATATTTGGAGAAAAAATTGGGAGCAATTTCATTGCTCTACGGGTGTATATTTTCATTCGGTACGTTTTCAGACACAAATCGGTGCGATGCATCCGTTGATCAAAAAATTCGCAGGTTACACGGCTCATCTCGCTGGAAAACTTAGATCCCCATCATGCCAAACAAGTACTAAATAATTACAGTTACTTACGAAAATATACAAGGCGGTTTGACCATATTTTTGTCAAATTTTAGGAACAAGTAGGCCAAAGAAAAACAGTCGTTCGTTATCTTCCCAAAATATTTGTTCGTTTTGAGTTTATTCGTAAATCCGACTGTTTTCGTTTACAAGGAATGCTCAAGAGAACATTCTTATCTCGTAAATTAAACATTTTTCGAAAATATCTGCTCGTTATTACAACAAAAAAGTTTTCTTGCATTTTTTTTCTGAATTTGACCATTTTCGAACAAAACGCATGTATTAAAAACGCTTCACAATTAATTATATACATTTTGACTTTACACCTGGTCTTTTTTTTAGTCTGTTATTTAATAAAAACTGTTTTCAACAAATACGTTTCATTCAGAAACAGTCGGATTTACAAGAAAAAGCACAGGGAAATGTTGTTTTGTTCTATTTCGTCGGTGGCTTTTAAATTTTTAAGCCTCTTTCTGCAGAGATTTTGTACAGAAAATGATTCTTGCGTATTGTCAGCATCGTATCAATTTTTTTGCCACTTTTCTATGCCGTGTGAAGCAAAAATTGAAAATACATTTAAATGTGTCAACAAACGTCTGGTAAAATTTCAACCAAAAAACATAGCTCGTTTGGAAAATATTCAACAAAAGTATTATTAGAAGGAAATTTTCACACCCCGTATCTCGTAAATTAAACATTTTTCAAAAATATCTGCTTGTTGTTACAACAAAAAAGTTTTCTTGCATTTTTTTGTGCGAATTTGACCGTTTCCGAACAAAACGCATTTATTAAGAACGCTTCACGGTTAATAATACACATTTTGACTTTACATCGGGTCGTTTTTTCATATCACCATTACCAAGGCTTGAGAAAAACACGTTTTAAGTTAGAGGCTACGAAAATATCTGTTTTTTGATAAAAACCGTTTTCAACAAATACGTTTCATTCGGGAACAGGCGGATTTACAAGAAAAAGCGCAGGGAAACGTCGTATCAATTTTTGGGCCACTTTTCTATGCCGTGTGAAGCAAAAATTGAAAATACATTTATATAATGCGTCAAACATGTTTCAACCAAAGAACATGGCTCGTTTGGAAAATATTCAACAAAAGTATTATTAGAAGGAAATTTTCACACCCCGTATCTCGTATATTAAACATTTTTCAAAAATATCTGCTCGTTGTTACAACAAAAAAGTTTTCTTGCATTTTTTTTTGCGAATTTGACCATTTCCGAACAAAACGCATTTATTAAGAACGCTTCACGGTTAATAATACACATTTTGACTTTACATCGGGTCGTTTTTTCATATCACCATTACCAAAGCTTGAGAAAAACACGTTTTAAGTTAGAGGCTACGAAAATATCTGTTTTTTGATAAAAACCGTTTTCAACAAATACGTTTCATTCGGGAACAGGCGGATTTACAAGAAAAAGCGCAGGGAAACGTCGTATCAATTTTTGGGCCACTTTTCTATGCCGTGTGAAGCAAAAATTGAAAATACATTTAAATAATGCGTCAAACATGTTTCAACCAAAGAACATGGCTCGTTTAGAAAATATTCAACAAAAGTATTATTAGAAGGAAATTTTCACACCCCGTATCTCGTAAATTAAACATTTTTCAAAAATATCTGCTCGTTATTACAACAAAAAAGTTTTCTTGCATTTTTTTTTGCGAATCTGACTATTTTCGAATAAAACTCATTTATTAAAAACGCTTCACGGTTAATAATACACATTTTGACTTTACATCGGGTCGTTTTTTCATATCACCATTACCAAAGCTTGAGAAAAACACGTTTTAAGTTAGAGGCTCCGAAAATATGTTTTTTAATAAAAACCGTTTTCAACAAATACGTTTCATTCGGGAACAGGCGGATTTACAAGAAAAAGCGCAGGGAAACATCGTATCAATTTTTGGGCCACTTTTCTATGCCGTGTGAAGCAAAAATTGAAAATACAATTAAATAATGCGTCAAACATGTTTCAACCAAAGAACATGGCTCGTTTGGAAAATATTCAACAAAAGTATTATTAGAAGGAAATTTTCACACCCCGTATCTCGTATATTAAACATTTTTCAAAAATATCTGCTCGTTGTTACAACAAAAAAGTTTTCTTGCATTTTTTTTTGCGAATTTGACCATTTCCGAACAAAACGCATTTATTAAGAACGCTTCACGGTTAATAATACACATTTTGACTTTACATCGGGTCGTTTTTTCATATCACCATTACCAAAGCTTGAGAAAAACACGTTTTAAGTTAGAGGCTACGAAAATATCTGTTTTTTGATAAAAACCGTTTTCAACAAATACGTTTCATTCGGGAACAGGCGGATTTACAAGAAAAAGCGCAGGGAAACGTCGTATCAATTTTTGGGCCACTTTTCTATGCCGTGTGAAGCAAAAATTGAAAATACATTTATATAATGCGTCAAACATGTTTCAACCAAAGAACATGGCTCGTTTGGAAAATATTCAACAAAAGTATTATTAGAAGGAAATTTTCACACCCCGTATCTCGTATATTAAACATTTTTCAAAAATATCTGCTCGTTGTTACAACAAAAAAGTTTTCTTGCATTTTTTTTTGCGAATTTGACCATTTCCGAACAAAACGCATTTATTAAGAACGCTTCACGGTTAATAATACACATTTTGACTTTACATCGGGTCGTTTTTTCATATCACCATTACCAAAGCTTGAGAAAAACACGTTTTAAGTTAGAGGCTACGAAAATATCTGTTTTTTGATAAAAACCGTTTTCAACAAATACGTTTCATTCGGGAACAGGCGGATTTACAAGAAAAAGCGCAGGGAAACGTCGTATCAATTTTTGGGCCACTTTTCTATGCCGTGTGAAGCAAAAATTGAAAATACATTTATATAATGCGTCAAACATGTTTCAACCAAAGAACATGGCTCGTTTGGAAAATATTCAACAAAAGTATTATTAGAAGGAAATTTTCACACCCCGTATCTCGTATATTAAACATTTTTCAAAAATATCTGCTCGTTGTTACAACAAAAAAGTTTTCTTGCATTTTTTTTTGCGAATTTGACCATTTCCGAACAAAACGCATTTATTAAGAACGCTTCACGGTTAATAATACACATTTTGACTTTACATCGGGTCGTTTTTTCATATCACCATTACCAAAGCTTGAGAAAAACACGTTTTAAGTTAGAGGCTCCGAAAATATCTGTTTTTTTAATAAAAACCGTTTTCAACAAATACGTTTCATTCGGGAACAGCCGGATTTACAAGAAAATCGATTTTTTTTCTATTTCGTCAATGGGTTTTAAATTTTTACGCCTCTTTCTGCAGAAATTTTGTACAGAAAATGATTACTGCGTTTTGTCAGTGATTTAACACTTTTACACTTTAAATTGTGTCTATACCGTCAAAAAAAAATCGAGAAACGATATTGTTGACCGACCTGTTCCTAAGGTTGAACGAAAAATAAATTGGACCGTCGATCGAAAATGATAGACCGCAAACGATCGCCCAACAACGAATTATGAAAAAAAAAAAACAACAAATGAAAATATACACGACGATAGAAAAAAACTAGTTCTATGTTATATTAATTTATCTAAACCTAAAACATAAAACCAATATAATACAAATACAAGGTCACGTTATAACTCTACCTAAGAGAGATAGTCTTTAGTGTCTATCGAATTAAATAAAATGCCAGACGTGCCCCGGGCGGGGGGCGTGTGCCGCCCGCCGGGAAGTATCATGTAGAAAATATAAATATATACCGGTTGCAAATATAAATTAAAAAAAAATAATAATAATGTTCCGCCGAAGGTAAAAAGTTTTAACCATTATAAACACTATAATCTTGTGATATTCAACTACTAAGAGTCGTCGGACATGAATGAATTTTGCGACTTCAGCTCTTCCAATTCTTTAATTTGTTGACGTAAAAATAATATTCTGAAAACAAACAGTGCATTAGAAGTCAATTAAGTCGGCATTAAGCGCCGCTAAGGGTGTTCCTAGGACTTTAATTTTTTTTAAGACTCGAACCGAACCGGAAGATCTTACGATTTATTATTTAAAGCTCTAACGTTCCCCCTCATTATTTCCCTAAAAACCGCAAGACGTGTTCGAAATCAGTACCTTAAACGAAGGACAGAAATAACTAGGTACATTCCAAAAAAAATATAGGGACTTTGAATAAGTTCTCGCAGTTTTCCAACAGATGGCGTTACCTGGACTGGACGGGTGTAGTTTAAGATCGTAACACACTTATAAGGGAAAATTCCTCATTTTTTGACAAAATTTAGTTCAGTAAACACAGATACGTGAAAATTAGGAAAAATTCCGTAGGATCGAATGAACTACTTTACTCCAGCGAATGTTAGGGCTTCGTTTTCAAAATGGCGTCGCAAGTTCGCAAAAAACAGTGTTTTTCATTTAAAAAAAAAACTAAAAATTTTAGAAAAAAATGTTTTAGACAAAAAAAAAACTAATTCGAAATATGCGAAAAATCTACCGAAACTTTGACTTCTTTTTTCGGGTCAAAAAATGTAGATCTTTTCCTTATCGTTGAAATTTAATCCGAATGGGATTATTGCTATTTGAAAGCTAACGTTTTTTTACGGATTAAAAAAAAAATGTTCTACAGGACCCGAGAAAAAAATTTTTTTTCCAAAAAATCGCTGCACACTCATTTATTAAATTTACACATGTTGCAGTTGAATACTTTCACTTTATTATAAGAGAATAGTAATGCAATGATTGACCCCCTTTTTTAAAGTAAACTTAATTTTGTTTTGCCCCGTAAAATGCTTGATCCGTTCGACACGTTGATGCGCGTAGTGGGGGGAGAACGACAGTGACTCGGCTAAGTTCATTACGTAGGACCGACAAATACGACAGTCACGTCACGGTGTTTCTCTCCCCATCACGCACACCAACGTGTTGAACGGAGCAAACTTTAAACGGGGCCCCACAAAATTAAGTTTACTGTAAAAAGAAAGGGGGGTCAGTCGTGGCGGACTATTTTTTATATTGAAGTAAAAGTATTCAACTACAACATGTGTAAATTTGAGACGTTAAGATTAATAAATGAGGTCGTAGATTTTTTGAAAAAAAAAAGAATTATTCTGGGCTCCTATTGTAGGATTTTTTTTTTTAAATTCGTGAAAAAATGTCAGCTTTCAAATGGCAATAATTCCATTCCGATTAAATTTCAGCGATAAGAAAAAGATTGACATTATTCGATCCGAAAAAAGAAGTAAAAATTGTCGGTAGATTTTTCGCATATTGCCTGTTATTTTGCAATACGCGAACAAATTTGCACAGGAAAGTACAACTCTTAGAGAAAATTTTAAGCCTAAGATGGGTCACGTAAGTGCAGTACTGTGTGATTTACTGAAACTTGAAAAAAATTTATTTTTTTCGAAAAAACTCAATTTTTGCAAAAACTTCCAAGTATTTTGCAATTTTACAAAAACGCACTTATTCTGCTTGCCAAGGACTACATATTCTGAAAGTTTCGTAAAAAAAATCTTTTTTCGTTTAAAGATATAGAAGTTTTAAAAAATGCGATTTTTGGCCGCTTTTTTTGCAATAACTAATACAGTTTGTTTATATTTAATATCTTTTATGATTTTTTCTTATTCTCAAGATAGAAAATTTACTTGCCAAGAATCGAACAAAAACCGTAATTTTCACATCAAATCGAACCCTTCACTGTCCTCCGCGTACGGCTAGCACCGATTCAAGACACGCCTATCAATTCCCAAGGAAACCCGAGCCAAAAAACGTCACGCGTATACGGTCCTAGAAACCTCACTTAGCAACGCGCCACGTTTTCAATCACAAAATACGACGAATCGCCGATTGGGCGACAAAGTACGAGATACCTATCTATGTACTTCCCGCGTCTCTCGAAATATCTCAATCCCTCTTTTAAGATCCCGTAACTGCCACACTTAACATTGTTTGAAATACAAAACCTGATCCACTTCAACTCGAGCAACACGCTAATATAATATTTCGTTTCGAGCCTAGAAAAGAGATTCGTATGAGTTTTGATCGTGTACGAAACAAAACGGCGCCCCGAGCTCTAAAAGTCCACAAAGAAAAAAGGAATAACGAAAACGGCGGATCTCGACTCACCTCTGTTCCTGTAACGTTGCTTGGATCTCGGTAAGTCGAACAATTGACCTAGCGGATTTCAGCTCCGCCGACACCTTAGAACATTGTATACTGCCCATTATATGCGCCTCGTCTGCCAATTTCTGCGCCTGGAACGACGTGAGAGAAAAATAACGAGTGTGACGGACTCGGGACGGCCCGGCGCTTACCTGTTTCTCTATGATCTCGGCGGGCCAGCCCCTCACGTGGTTCACCAGGTCATCTCTGTAGTGGTTCGCCAACGAGGGAGTTATTGTGGGGCCCTGAGGTCTAAGGGCTTGCAACGAACTGGACATCCCCTGGAGGGTCGGCAGGCTGCCGGGAGGGCTACTCACTGGCACCGCGACCGCTGGAATTACAATTTATGAGTTACGAGAGATTCTGTTCCTAAGAGGGGTTGGTCGCTTTCAACGTAGCGTCAAAGTAAATCCATTCTTGACAGACAGTTGGAATTTTTGTAAAAAAAATTAAAAACGCTCCTTACATTTTTGTATTTCAAATTTTCAAGCTCAAACTGTTCATCAAAATTAAGAAATTTCTTTTCAAATTCGATATTTTTTGTTGCATCACAAAATTTGGAGATTTAATGTTACGAAATTTCAACTTTGAACGTGAAATTTGTAATTGCTTTAAATTCAGACGTAATTTAATGTTAAAACACACAATTTTGAATGTGAAAGTAAGTTTAGCACGAAATTTAACAATAAAAGTTAAAAAGTATATTTTAAGATAATATTTAAAATTTCTTATTCAAATATAAAATTTTTGAAACCAAATTCAAAATTTCGAGCTAGAATATGAAACTTCATACTTGAACTGAAAATTGCGAATTTTAAAAGTGAATTTCAAATTTAAATGTGTAGTACTAAATTTGACGCAAAATTTTATTTCAACGTGAAAATTGGAATTTGAACGTGAAATTTCAAGTTTGAATGTGAAGTTTAGCAAATAATAAAAATTTGAAATTTTCTGTTTAAACTCGAAATTTAAAGTTCAATTTTAACAAATTTGTTTTATTTCGAATTAAATTACGAAATTTAACATTTGACTTCACAATTTTGAACTTGAATGTCAAATTCAAAGAGGTAATTTAGTGTTGAAGCTCACAATTTTGAATATGAAAATGAAACTTCAAGTTTACAATGAAATATAACAATAAAAGTTAAAAAGTATATTTTCAAGCTTAAATTTGATATTTAAAGTGGATATTTTGTGTTCCACTACATAATTTTTAAGACCAAATTCAAAATATCAATGAAATTTCATGAATGAACTTGAAACCGCAAATTTTAAATGTGAAATTTCGAATTCAAATGTGAAATATCAAATTTAATGCAAAATTTTATGTTTAAATTGAATTTGGACGTGAAATTTCATGTTTGTGAAATTTAGCAAATAACAAAAATTAGAAATTACGAGTTTAAACTCCAAATTTAATGTTCAATTTGAAGAAATTTGTGGTTATTTCTAATTCAATTAAGAAATTTAACATTCGACTTCACAATTTTGAACTTGAATGTCCAAATCAAAAAGGTAATTTAATGTTCAAGCTCACCATTTTGAAAATGAAACATCAAGTTTACAATGAAATTTAACAATAAGTTAAAAAGTATATTTTCAACTTTAAATTTGATGTTCAAAGTGGATATTTAATATTCCATACATAATTTTTAAGACCAAATTCAAAATATCAATGAAATTTCATGAATGAACTTGAAACCGCAAATTTTAAATGTGAAATTTCGAATTCAAATATGAAATATCAAATTTAGTGCAAAATTTTATGTTTAAACGTAAACATTGAAATTTGGACGTGAAATTTCATGTTTGAATGTGAAATTTAGCAAATAACAAAAATTAGAAATTATGTGTTTAAACTCTAAAGAAATTTGTGGTTATTTCTAATTCAATTAAGAAATTTTACATTCGACTTCACAATTTTGAACTTGAATGTCAAATTCAGAGGTAATTTAATGCTCACAATTTTGAATATGAAAATGAATGCAAGTTTACAATGAAATTTAACAATAAATGTTAAAAAGTATATCTTCAAGCTTAAATTTGATATTCAAAGTGGATATTTCATGTTCCACTACATAATTTTTAAAACCAAATTCAAAATATGGATGAAATTTCATGAATGAACTCGAAACCGCAAATTTTAAATGTGAAATATCGAATTCAAATGTGAAATATTGAATTTGGTGCTAAATTTTATGTTTAAACGTAAAAATTGAAATTTGAACATGAAATTTCACGTTTGAATGTGAAATTTAGTAAATAACAAAAATTAGAAATTATGTGTTTAAACTCCAAATGTAATTTTCAATTTGAAGAAATTTGTGGTTATTTCTAATTCAATTAAGAAATTTAATTCGATTTCACAATCCTGAACCTGAATGTGAAATTTCAAGTTTATCACAAAATTTCAAATTTAACAAAAAATTTGATTGAAAACTTGAAACTTCAAACTGAATGTGAAATTTAATAAACAAACATTTGGAATGATATATTTAAACTCAAGTTCTAACACAAAATTTAGAGTTCTCTAACGCAATTTTAACTTTAATACATGAAATCTGTAGTTATTTTGGTTTTGATTGTCAAATTTCAAATATAACACAAAAAGTTCAAGTTTGAGAGCAAAATTTCAAGTTTGATGACAAAATATTAAGATTGAATTCAAAATTTCAAGATTAAATTCGAAATTTTCAGTGCAGTCAAAATTTAGCATTTACATTAAAAATCCACTCACCCTTTGCACAATCCGGTGTCTCCGAGTGCGTGGGGGTGGGCGGGCCATCAGCGACGGTCCCCGAGTGATTAGTGTCTATACTGAGAGAAGTATGCACTGCACTGTCTCCGGGCCTCTGTGGACCGTGCGAGTTTTTTTCCACACTGTCCGAGGTCGAGGTTTGCGACATGATCCTTGGTAGCGAGGCGAGACCGCCTGGCGGGCCCGGGGCGTTGGACGTCGTCACAACGTTCGGGACAGGCATCAGCGTGGGGGTGCTCTGCGGAGACGCCTCGGGCCTACCCGTCGGCGTCGACGACACCACGTGGATCGGGTGCGAGATCAGCCTGGGTAGGGCGTTCGCCAGTAGTACAGGTCCCATCGTGTTTTGTTCATTGGTTGATTGGGGGGCGTTGTTGCCGTAGGAAACTTCCGAGGTGGGCGTGCTGTCGCCCGGCGAGATGTCCATGTCCTGCGTCGATTGTACGTTCTCGTCGGAGTGCTTGCGGGAGGAGCGCGACTCCTTGGAGGGGACGTCGCTGTCGTCCCTGCTGCTGCTGCTGCTCCAGTGACGGCTGCCCGTCGCGCTCTCCCTGACGTGGTCCTTGCTGCCTCCGCCACCGCCGCCGCTGCTGTTCGCCCCTCTTGGGTTGGAATGTTTCTCATGTCCTGGAAGGTTCAGTCGACAAATAAATGACCATATGTTCCGGCTCGGAAAAGCCGTCTATTTACCACTAAATTTGTAATTATAACATTTATGTACTTAAAAGTCGATTATTTGTGCCCGTTACAAATATTAGTTAACAATAATATAGTTTTGACCCTTTCAACCCTCGTATTTTATCCATATTTTAAAAATTTTTTATTTTAAAATTTCAAGCTCAAACTGTTCATCAAAATTAAGAAATTTCTTTTCAAATTCGATATTTCTTGTTGCATCACAAAATTTGGAGATTTAAAGTTATGAAATTTCAACTTTGAACGTGAAATTTGTAATTGCTTCAAATTCAAAGTTGTAATTTAACAATAAAGTTAAAAAGTATAAAATTTCTTATTCAAATACAAAATTTTTGAAACCAAACTCGAAATTGAGAATTTTAAGTGAATTTTCGAATTCAAATGTGTAATATTTTTGACGCAAAATTTTGTTTCAACATGAAAATTGGAATTTGAACGTGAAATTTCAAGTTTGAATGTGAAGTTTGGCAAATTACAAAAATTTTAAATTTTGTGTTTAAACGGGAAATTTAAAGTTCAATTTTAAGAAATTTGTTTTATTTCGAATTCAATTAAGAAATTTAACATTCAACTTCATAATTTTGAACTTTAATGTCAAATTCAAAGAGGTAATTTAATGTTCAATTTCACGATTTTGAATATGAAAATGAAACTTCAAGTTTACAATGAAATTTAACAATAAAAGTTAAAAATTATATTTTCAAGCTTAAATTTGATATTCAAAGTGGATATTTCATGTTCCACTACATAATTTTCAAGACCAAATTCAAAATATCGATGAAATTTCGTGAATGAACTCAAAACTGCATATTTTAAATGTGAAATTTCAAATTCAAATGTGAACTATGAAATTTGAACGTGAAATTTCATGTTTAAATGTGAAATTTAGCAACCCTTGTATTTTATCCATATTTTAAAGGATTGCAGCTTTCCTATGAAATAAGCAAATAAAAAGCATGTAAGACATGCCCATTCCTGAAAATAACATCAAAGCGTGACAATAATGATGTACTTTGTGTCACAACAAAAAAAATTTTGAATTCCCGTTAAACATATAGGCAACTCTATACTGACTCCTCTGTGTCAGGGATGGCAGTGCCAACAGCACCCAGTAGCAGCCGCTGTTAAAAATTAACTAAAAAAGCCCCTCCGACCTTCGTCTAAATACAAACAGATACTACTTACGCATACCCGAGCGGCTCGAACTGCTGTAATTCCTCTCGGAGTCCCTGTCGCGGTCCCTGTCTCTGCTGCGGAATCGATCCCGTTCCCTCTCTATCCATTCACGCGGCTTCTCCCACTGAGACACCTCAGTTTTACAATTGTAATAATACTTTTTGCCAGACGAGCTGACATGCTCCGACCAATCACCCACCCTAACAACCCTATCCCTGTCGTCCCTCTGGAAGAAACAGAATTATCGTTATTCTCACGTAAGCCGATGTCACACGTTCGACCTCACCTTATCTACACAATTGTTATGCATGGGTTTCCTATCTCTAGACGATAGCTGGGAAACCTTTATTGGATGCAAGATGCTTTTTTCATCATTTCTATCAGAGTTGGTTCTGTGTTCAGAATCTCTGCTCCGTTTATCTTTCGGTGACCTGGCACAATCTAAAACGGCAACAGACGTACGTTACAAGTCGGATGATTTAAGGTGAAGGGGAATCTTTTCCCCTCAAAGTAAATGTTTTGGATAAATCGTGTTCCGACTAAGACAATCGGATGTAATATCTGCCCATGTCATTATACGGGTGAAACTTCAAGCAGGGGTCGGTTTTATGGAGATGACAGTGTGCGTTTTTCTCTAGAAGTCGAGTTATAATTCGTTTTCATAAGTATTGTGTTTTAAGTTTAAATTTACAGTAAAAAAAAAAGGTTAAACAAATATTTTTCACCACAGAATTTGAGAAAACAAACCTATGAAGTCACACCCTGTTTGACTCGAATTTTGGAAGTTAAATGTCTAGATTTTTGCATCGTAACAGACATTCTCTCTATTTTATGACCAATATCAACAACAAAAATACCTTTCGCGGCTGAAAAATTTAATACGGGTTATATTAAATTTAAATATACATTCTTCAGTCTAACCGAATAGATGAAAGTTTTTTTTGGGTATTTTACCATATTTACAAGATATTCCTCAAAACTATATATACGACTCCAATAAACAGAAATGGTATTTAAAAAGCATGAAAAACTTTTGCAAAACGTATTCCAACACCTCGATCTCTAGAAGAATTTCACAATACACGACAAAATAGTGATACCAGTGCTGGACGTAATCTGTTCACAGTTTTTAGCAAGATACACATAAAATATGCCTAAAAAAATGACAACCCAACATTTTTCAGCAAATTACATTAAATTATTTGTAGTTATTTACCCCAAATTAATTTTAATAAGAAATATTTAACTGTACAAGTTGTTTCCGTATATATTTTCAATTCACGCTTAATATCCTTTTACGTCATCGACATGTGTTTTTCGAGAAGTCGCCTCACCTGAATACTTGTCTCTCGACACCTTATAGTCTCTATTTTCTCTCTCCTTTTCACGGATTTTCTGTAGATAGGAGCTCTTCGATTGATAAGACCTGTCGCGATCCCGAGGAGACTGGGAATCCGGACTGTCTGACCTATAGTTTCCATTTGGTGAATCGCGAATCCTCTCGTACCTATCGCTGCTTGATCCGTAACTCTTCGATGAACTGTACTTCGAGCTCTAAATAGAAAAGAGGGTCATTGCTCGATAATCAATAAGAACCACAATTCAGGATGGTACTAGTAGGAATGTTCAAAATAATAAAATTCTGCCTGACATTTGTAATTAGATAATGATAAAGTTACCACAAACTGGAAAAGTATATAAAAATAGCCAATGTAGGTTAGATTATCTATGTAAAAGGTAGCCATGTTTATTATTATGTTTTGACAAGTATTTACATTTTAATGAGAAATTTTACTTCAAAATACGAAAAATATGAACAAACAACTTTAATTCTGTTCCTGTGAATTTTTGTTAATGGCCGAAAACTCTAATATACCGAAAATTTTGAAAAAAAAAAACTAAAAATCAATTATTTCACAAAAGTGAGGTACCATGATGTGAAATACCAAAATCGTAACGCAACGACCGATCCGACGAATTTTTAAATGCCCCATACAAATATGTACTTTATCTCAACTGTTGCAACTCGTTTTTGGATATTATAATACGTTTCCCTCCCTAAAACTAATTTTGTTTACCTGATATGGATGGGTTTGGTGCTTGTCGAAGTACCTGTACATAAAAAGAAAATATCTTAAATTAATAACAAAGTCAAAAAACAAAATAAATGAATAGGACAATTTCACAAGGCAAATAAATTTATTGCCTTGAAGATTGTGTCAAAGACCGTAGTAATGCCTACCCATCGTTCATCCGCTGAGTTTTCCTTGCATGCATTACCATCAATGCAAGTCTCTAGAAAAAGTTTTTGGCTTTTACAGTAAGCCACTTCGTCAAATGATGTCATAAAAACAATAATAACGTTTGAACCCGTTTAAGAACTGACTTTCCTATCAGACGCCATGTCACATAAGGGAACAATTTGCAGCTGAAGGCAAATGCTCCTAATTTCTTCCGTTGTCTCATTGGTTGACGTAAGAATATTCCGATAATACCAACATGACCACAAGAAATACTCTAATGATTAAAACAGTATTTGTAATTATTTAGTAATAATCATCTACCAATAATAATTTTTTGATTGTATGTATCAAACATTATACATAATTTTTATATTAATTTGGAAATTAAACGACATTTGTTTATTTGCAGCAAGTTTACGCAAGAAAAATTTAGTAATTTTCTCCCAACAGTTGGCAATACATTATTTACTGTACCAAGTTCCAAATGAAGGCTCTTTAGCCATTGAAAAACATGATCTTTTTGACTTTCCTATCTATTAGCAAGGGACGTTACTTAAAAGTGAAGATTTTTGTGTATTTAAATGCCGAATAAATGTTGTAAGTAACTAGTGCAAGTGTTATTATTTACATATAAATAAAGTGTAAATTATTACAAGCGTGAATCACAAGGGCAATTTTTATCCAGCAGATACATACGTATTTGGTTATCTTACCCAGGCATTTAATTTAGACTAAGCGTCCACTTCATATGGTATTATGTATATTAGTAATATTTGCTAAAACTCTATTTTGTCTAATAGCTTTATTAGTGGGGGAATAATTATTTCATAATTTCCATACATTGTTTTAGCGCACAATGTTTTGTAAGCAAAATGCTTATACACCGAAGTCACTGGATTCTAGCAGCATACTTCAAAGAATTCATACAAAAACAGGTAATATTTTTTAAATATTTATATTGATATATATTCTAGGAGCACACTACCAATCAATTGAATTTTAATGATGACAAAAGTTGAATCATATAAGTCACAATTTATGCATGATTAAATATTTTTAAATTATTTTAAAGGGCACCGACATACGCTATTGATTAACTGCAGTAATTCTATTACTGTATGCATTATTGTTTTTGTAGGTACGGCCGCAAGGAAACTTATTTCAAAACAAGACTTCCTTCAGCCATATTTTGACGGCGAATTCAGTGATGTCCATTCCAGTAGAATTGCTCAAAACATTGAAAGGTAGATTTAACGTTTTTGACACAAATTTGAGATAAAAAACATTTATTTTGTAACATACTAAAATAATATAGATGTGTTAACAAGTAGGAGATCCATCATCGCCGAAGAAAGAAGATTAGTCAAATTAAGTTTTGTCATTTTGTTGCACTTTTTATAATTTCATTAATCTCAAAGTTCTAAATATAATTCATGCATGTTTTTAAATTAAATGTTTGTTAGTAATCGTAAATTAACGATAAGAAAATAAGGAAGAAATAAGGAAGATTAAGAAGATTTAAGCATAAGAAGAAATGAAAAACGAAGAAAGAAGACAAGCAAAACTTCCCAAGAAGTGGTAGCATTGAAAAAATTATGTAATTCGGTGTTTTTATATTCAATTTTTGTCCTTAAATATTAACTGTAGTACTGTTAGTCCCGTGGAAGTAAATCGACTGAATATTCAATATTAAAAGTACAAAAGTTACAAGAATCCACTGTTGCAGGTATATTAAAATCACGAAGAAGTATCAGAGAGAAACAAAATTTTTCGTTGAGGCTGTCTTGAATAGAATTTATTTACTGCATAAGTACAACTTAAAAGTTGCCGAGGTAAGTGTAAATACTATCTTAACAGACCTGTTGTATAACTATGCTATTGATCATTTTAGGTAACTTTTAAATATCCCTTATCACCAAACTTCACTCAGTTGTTATTGCGCTACGTCGTCCTAGAGTGTAGCGTATTATATAAAAGAGAACACCACACGCCACGCTATGAAGCCACCGTACAAGAACGGATATTAAGACTCCTGCAGAACGTGTATAAATCTTACCTGGAGACCTTAATTGGCGTGCCGCCGGAAAAACTGCTCAATGAACGCTGTACGGCAATTTTAAATCTGTTCATTAAGATTAAATCGGAATTCGAGGTTCAAAATGACCTCATGGAAAATATAGCCAAGTAAGTTTTGTTTAATCGTTTATCGCCGTCGTTTAATTGAATTTTTTTCAGAAAATTGTTGAAGAAGATGGGGAGACTGGAGCAAGTAAACGCGTTGAAGAAGAAATGCATCCCGTGTCCGTTGGACACGTTTTTAAGTGATCCCGCGGTTGTTAACAGTTACAAAAATATTATCACGAGCGATTACGGAACGGACGACGACTTGAAAATTGAAGAAGAGATTATTCAGGCATGTAGAAACATTTTTAAAGACCACTTTTTGTGTTTTTTTGTCGCAGTGAAATGAGACTTCAGAAATCGCAACGATTTGTCAAAATTGATTTTTCCCATATTTTACAATGTTTTGTCTGTAATTTATGTACACTTTATACTTTACTACATCTTGTACATTCTCACTTTCTAAATTTTCTAAATGCAAATTTAATGGTTTTAGGTGGATCCTCAAAATGAAGATGACGATTCCGTCGAAGAGCCGGACATAAAGCAAGATATAAGCGAGATTTTACGGGTGTCGAACGGTCTACATCAAGTTCCCGCAACAAACAGCCAAGTAAAGAAAGTACCAACCATCTATATCGACGACGACAATGAAGAGATGATCGTATTAGAAGAGGAAATCGAAACGAGTAGTAAATCGGCGAGGCGGCAGAGAGCGGAAGAAGAAAACAAATTATTGTTGAGGGAGAAACAGTACGAAATGTTTTCCAATCACAAGCCGTTTGACGATATAAAGCCCTACGTGAAAGACGAGGTTATCGATCTAGATTCCGATGAAGAATCCGACACGACCGAAAGTTGTGTGATCGAAACTAATACTAGAGTCGCTGTTGAGGTAGTAGTTACAGACGATGATGCCGACTCAACTGCCGTTCAACCTCCTATCGCTTGGGATTCTCCGAAAGTTATAAAAAAATTGAACGAGGAAGATATATTAGAGCTGAGCTCGGATGAGGACGAATCGCCTAAAGTTATACCTAAAGAAGAAGAAGAAGAACTGCTGAAAGACGAAACTGACGATCAAGCGAATCGTTCGCCGCAAGCAGTAGGAGATTCTAATATGTCTAACACAGCAATACACAGATTTGAACGCACTGTACATAGCAATACTTTCGATATAAATACTTCGGGCCTTTCTCAGGAAGAAAATAACATAAGTGTCGATAATTCTACTGAACCCTCGAATATGCCTTATCCATCTCTAACAGATACGTTAATTTCAAGTAGCGAAGAAACTCTTGCTACGCAACGTGAAAATGTCTCGATAGAAGAACAACCGTCTAACGACAGTGCTGAAGGAATTCAACAGGGAATAAAACTGGAACTAGATACGCCTAAAGATAATCCGGATAATCAAGAGAGAGCAGACATAGAAAGTGAAAAGAAATTAACGTGTGATGAACTACAAACTGTTGCAGCACATCGTGAAAGTACAGAAAATTCTGAGAATACGTCAATCGGAAATGAAATAGTAAAAAATGAAACCGAAAATGTGACCGAAGAGAACATTGATCTAAATATGGAAAATGGTAAAACATTAAACGGCGAACCTGAACCAAAATCTGATGAATTGCATGTCATTAAATCAGTTGAGGATCCGTCAAAAAGTCTTTTAGAAAAAGACCCAGTTAATGAAGCTGGAACGTCAATAAAACCAAAAGGCATTCAAACAAACTCATTATTAACCGAAGGCAAGTGCCCGCCTTTAAGTAACGAAGAGAATCTTGTGTCACAATGTAAGAACATTGAGCAAAATGAAATTGAAGACTTAAAAAACTCGTTATTGGACCAGAGAGAAGATGATGAAAATACTTCGATGGAACAGAAGAAAGCAAACGACTCCGATAACATTCTAGAAGCATCCGAAGTCGAAGAAGCTTTATTGGAAAATGAAAATATCGATACAAGGCTTACAGTTAGTCATTCTTTGGAGGCGGCAGAACTCTCGGATAACATTGAAAATGTTAACGTGACATGTAATCGGGTACCGTCGGGTGTAATTGACGATACAACCGCAGCTGAAAGTACGGTGTCAAGTACGGACGAAGCAAAGGATGAACCTGTCAGTAGTCGAGGAGAAAGTATGAATTGGGATGAGAAAAATGACGATTTAAGGGAAAACGAGTCTCTTGATCAGTCAAATACAGATACGGAAACAGTTAATGAAACTCAGACTAAAGCTGCTGGGGATCAAGCGGAAGAGGATACGAGTTCGATCGACATGTCCCATTCTAAAGAACAAACACCCTCAAATATGGTGCAGGTGCAAGAAGAAATTGTCGGGAAGCGTACAGAAGTGGATGTTGATCAGCAGAATAGTGGGTGTATCGAAAACCAAAATGTGGCAGAAAATGAAACAATAACTGAAGCGAACGTGGAACCAGACACGAAACGTCTTGAGGAGGGAAACGTTAACACACATTTTGAAGATGCCGAAATTATAGATAGAAAAAATTCAGGAAATGAAAATCTTGATCGGGTTAATGAGACAGGAAGTGTTTCAGATGAAACTGAAAGTGGAACAAAGGAGCTTTCAAATGTCTTCGAAGGTGAAGGAACATCAGAAGACAGACATAAAGAGCAGCCTGAAGGGAATAAAGTTTCTGAAGAATGTAGCGATGCAGGGGACAATACTACTTCGGATCAACCGTTCAAGCCTTCTAGTAACGAAGTAGAAGAATTGAGTGAAGGAATGGAAGAAATAATTGAAGGATCCGAAGATGTTGAAGATGCAGTAGTCGAGGCTCCTAATAATGAAATAATAGACAAGGAGGCAGAGCAGATAACTGAGGAACCAACTGAAAATTTCCTAGATAAGAAAATTGTTGACGATGTTGAAGATGCAGTAGTCGACGCTCCTAGTAGTGAAATTAAAGAAGTGGAACAAATAATTGGAGAGCCAACGGAAAATTTCCTAGATAAAGAAATTGTTGACGATATTGAAGATGCAGTAGTCGACGCTCCTAGTAGCGAAATAATAGTCAAAGAGGCAGAGCTGATAACTGAGGAACCAACTGAAAATTTCCTAGATAAGGAAATTGTTGACGATATTGAAGATGCAGTAGTTGACGCTTCTAGTAGTAATATTAAAGAAGTGGAACAAATAATTGGAGAACCAACGGAAAATTTCCTAGACAAGAAAATTGTTGACGATAGTGAAGATGCAGTAGTCGACGCTCCTAGTAGTGAAATTAAAGAAGTGGAACAAATAATTGGAGAGACAATGGAAAATTTCCTAGACAACAAAATTGTTGACGATAGTGAAGATGCAGTAGTCGAGGCTCCTAGTAGCGAAATAATAGACAAAGAGGCAGAGCTGTTAACTGATGAACCAACTGAAAATTTCCTAGATAAGAAAATTGTTGACGATAGTGAAGATGTAGTAGTCGACGCTCCTAGTAGTGAAATTAAAGAAGTGGAACAAATAATTGGAGAGCCAACTGAGAATTTTCTGGTCAAAACGACTGTTGACGATGTTGTGGATGCAGTAAACGATACCACAAATGATCACACGGAAAGTACGTTAACCGAAGAAGGTTTAAACTTACAAACTAATGAAGAGAACATCGAAATGCAAGAAGTATTCCAATTTCGGAACACCGAGCATGAAATCGTAATAACCGCTGAAGATGTGGGGCATTTCGAACTAATCGAACAAGAAGTTCCTAAAACCAATGATATACCAACGGAAGAACAATATGGGAATGAAAAAATTACAAAGGAAGTGGAAGGTTTCCCAGAAAATGCATATGTAGGCCCTACATCTCACGAAACTGAAATAATTCATTTTGAAGCGGCAAAAAGTATCGAACCAAATATTACTGAAGAAATTTGTTATGGAAAATACAATGAGTCACCTTTAATAGACGACTTGAACATTCAAAAGGAAGAAATTATAACGGAAGTTCATACCTTGGATCTAGGCATTCCGGAAGAATTTGTCATAAACGGAAGTCATTCCCAAATCGTACCCGCACCTATAGAAGTGGAATTACCTTTAATGAAAGCGGAAAAAATCGAAAAGGGGAATACAGTCACGAACAATCAAATTATACCCAAACAAGTTGGTCAACATTTGGAAATTTGTGGCATCCCCGATGACAACACGTATTTAGACATACTGGCGACTGTAGCTACGGAGATGTCACGTCAGGACTTATTGAAAAAGAAAAAAGCACACAACGAACGGAGGAAGAAACAGTTTAATTTAAAGGCCAAAATCGAACGTGTGCAAGGAAGACGCAACGCCAAGATCAAATCGAAGGTAGAAAAACGTGTTACCAGAAGCGCCCTTACAAAGAAGAAAACGGAAGTGTACCTCGAACCCAAGTGTAAACCGCACGATTTCGTTTTTACCAACGATTCCGGAGCCCCTCCACCATCCAACAACATCTACACCCAAAAACTTTCAGAAATTCCCTTGACCAGCGAAGATAGCAACGATAGCGAAGGGATTCTGTTGATCGATGAAGATATCGACGTAAAGAGCAACAAACCTAACCTCCCTCGAATGAAAAAGTTGTCCTGCTACGACGAGGATACCATGGAGGAAAATCTAATCTTCCGTTACGAACCCAAAGTGCAAGGTACGGTTTTGATAAGCATCCCGGACACGTATCAAGGAAATTTCGAGTTTCTAACGCAGATCGAGCAGTTGGACAACTGTTCTAGTCACCCGTTTGCTAACGTTCCGAATTCGCAAAACGATATTTTCCCTGAGGAGAAAACTTACTTCGGCGATTTGCCTTCCTCGAAAAACAGCCAGAAACCAGAAAACTCGATTTTAGAGAAGAAAAATCACAAACCGTTCAGGACCAAAGCTGAGCAAAAAGATTACGACAAATTCTCCCTAAAGCCGTACGTGAGCATCGAAAGATTAAACATTACGACCAAGAAAGAAGAAAAACACAGACACGGTAGATCGAAAAGTTTCGAAACGGGGATAACTACCGATAAGTCGACGGTATGTGAAGTAAACAACGATGTTCTGAAAAATGAGCCCACAGAAGTATTTAAAGATGAAATTAATAATTTACCTACAAAAATAAAGGCGGAGAGTAATACGGACGAGACAAATCGTGAAGATAGTGATGATGACATCCCTTTACTGCAGAGGACTCTATTCGAACTCAAGCAAACGAAAAAATCAGTGACTAGCCCGAAATCTGTACCTGAAACAAAAAAAGGAAAGTCGGATCAAAAAACTAGCTTTGATAAAACTACGAAAGTGAAAAGCGGTGTAAAATCTAAAACAAAACCGAAGAAAACTCACGTTGACGTAAAAGATGACGCTAAACGATTACCGAAAAAACTGATTAATGAAGAAAAAACGACTAACACCTCGTCACAGAACGACGTTCCTGTAGTTGCTAACCTTCCACAAACATCAGTACATCCGACCGTCCCACTTGCCGATATGGTAGAAAAAGATATTTGTCACGCAGGCTCAGAACCTGAGACGGATAAAAATAACACTAACGAGCCCGTACCGAAAAGCAATCAACAAATAAAAAGTGACGGACCCAGTTTTGAGGAATTCATGAAGAGTTCGAACACAAAATATTATACGACGCCGAAACTGAGAAGAAAATCGGTATCAAAACACAATTTAAACAGAAACGATATCAAATTTGAAGGCACTAAACAAGTTATTTTCAACGCCGATAAGAAATACTACACTCCCCCGAAGCTCAGAAGGAAATCCATGGTAGAAAATGAGAACGGTACAGACACGAAGAAAATTACACCGAAACAATTGAAAGTGTCCACGTCGAAAGTCGATATACTTTCCAAATGCAAGAATACCATATCTCCAACGACTGAGAAGTTGAAAAAGAAGCTGGAAATTGATTTTAAGTTGAACTGCACCGAATTATCCGCAGAAGAGACTCGTGAAAATGGAGATGGCGATCACATCCCGAGTCAAGAGATAGCAAATTCTGATGTTACTGAAACTACGCCTGTAGATTCACCTGAAATTGAAAATCAGTTGATACGTGATGTGAACGATACTAATAAAATACCTGACGTAAGTGAACAGAATATACATGAAAAGGAAACAGATAAAGACCTTCCAGTAACTCAAACAAATATTTCTGAGACAACCGAGTGTGAATTAAATACGAACCCAGAGAACAGTCAAGGTCCTGATACCTTAACGGATAGAAAAGAATCAAAACCTTCTAATGAAACAGAAGAAATATTAACTGTAGCTTCTAAATTCACTCCACCGACAATAGAAAATCCAACAGAAGATATTCAGGAAGCAGAAGTAGAAATTTGTAAAACAAAAACAGTTGACGTATCAAAAACACAGAGCGATTCTGAAATGAATAAGATTCAGGACAGTGCAAGTAACCAGAGTGGAACTGGAGCGATCGAAAACGTTGAAGGGACATCTACTTCTGGGTCTAGTGTCACCGTAGACAAATTAATTGAAAACGAAGAAAACCTGGATGACTTGCCTCTGTCAAAGAGAACTTCTATGTCTTCCCATCACGTATTGAAGGAACCAGAATTTAAAACTGAAATGAAACCCCATAGAAAGAGTCTAAAAAAGACCGCTTCTGATATCGAATCAAATTTTGAAACGGAGAACAAAAAACAACAGAATATACCAAAAACAGATACCGACAACATTAAAATTGGACTCGAAAATGAAACTATTCCGAAATTTAAGACAAAACGAACAAAAGAGCCACAAAAACATATCCCCAATGAAATTAAACTTCCAGAGCAAGGGTCCTGTACTAAAAAAGACAATGAACTGACAAAATCGGAAGGAAAAACCAAAAGCCAGAAAGTCAGTAAAGTAAAATCTGGTAAACTATCGAAGAAACATAAGAATAAAATTGAAAATAACAAGAAAGAAACAAGCGAAACAAAAACAGGATTATCAGGAGAGTCGCCAAAGAAGGTCAACGATAAAACAGAAAACGTGGGGCTAGACATAAAAAATAAGAATATTTCCTCACGGTTAATAGAATCGATAAACCTAAAGGAAATGTCTGAAGAGCCGATAGATATATCTGCAAATAAGGAACAAATCGAGCCCAATTCAAGTCATCTATTGAGCAAGGAAAATTCTGATTCTACTGAGAAACTGGAAGGGAACAATAGTAAAGATGTCTTAACCGAGCAAGTGAAAGATGAAGGATCAAAAGCAACTGACAAAACTGAAAGCGACGTACAAGCTGACGCTGAGCTTGTATTAGGAAAGTCGTCTTCTGCATCAGGAGACAGTATCTCTAAAGAAGAGAATGCAAACGATAAGTTGTTGGGGAACTCGACAGAACCAACGTCTCGGGACAATCAATTCAAAGATCAATCTGATCAGCTTGCAGAAAGCAAAGACGATAATAACTCAGGATTCAGTTCGTCCGGATTGTCTTTAAAAAGTAAAGACACAAATAATGACCACCACATTCCTAGGAAGAAGAAAAATCCCGATTGTCGTTTAAAAAAATTACCTAACAGAACCTTAAAATCGATAAAGACTAAAACTAGCCTTGTAGACAAGGTTTTACCTGAAAACAGAATTGACGTTCTAGAAAATTGTAACGTTTTAACATCTGTTAAAACTACAAATAACTCTGCACTGAAAAATGATGTACATGGAAAAGGAAATAAAGTAGAAAAATGCAAAAAGGATAAAAAGAGAACATTTCATGGGAAAACCGAAACGAGTAAAATGATGGAAAAGACCAAACAGAAGGAGGATACTGAGGCAATTAAAGACAAAGCAAATAAAACCGAAAGTACTGATATTTCACAAATTAATAGTACGTTAGGGGACCATTTAACTGGAGTACCATTAACAGTTGTGTCTGAAGAAATTGTTGATAGTAGCGATTACAAAGCAAATAGCATAGAAAGACCAAACGCAGAACTGGGCTTGGATGAACATGTCCAAAGAGTCGAGGAAGAAAAAATGGAGGAAATGCCTGAGATAGATGAAATATCAGTTTCAGTGGACACTGATGTTAAAGAAATCATTTCTATGGTGGATCATGAATCAGGATTGGACGTGCCTGCTGAAAATCCACTGGATATTGAACCATCTCGTACTAATCAAGAGATTTCTGTAATAAGCGATGAACCAAATGCTAAGGTACCCACAGATAAACCTGTTGAGGATCCAATGGAAGACGAGCATCCTTCTGATATTAACGAGCAAGTTCTATTATCAAATCAAGAACCAGATAGTAAACCACGGGTGGATATATCAGTTGATATTCCAGTACAACGTGAACATTCTTCCGAGGACAATGGAAATCGACATGTGGAAAATAATGTAGTTGAAGAAACTGGGAATTATCCAAAAACAATTCCATTAGAGGAAGTTTCAAAGGAAGGAAACAGTTCGACGGATAAAGCAATGGAAATTTCAGATTTTAACAGTAACAGCATGTTTCAAGCCACAGAATGCAAAGAAAAGTACGATGACAACAACAAAAATGATGGAATGTTAAATGAACAATCTCAGAAACCTGTTTGTGAAGATAAAAATGCAGTACTGGATGAAGTAGATGAAGAAATAGCACTGGAAGAAAGATGTGATGATGGAAATGTACATCAATTTGTGGATTCTAAAGCTGATAACGCCCTAGATAAAAACTTGCAACTAGAGACGGAGCAGCAAGTGAAGAAACATATTGGTGAAGACGATTTCGATACCACCGCTGCAGTTGAAGACACTGTGGTTGAAAGCGTAGAATCCCAAGATGAAAAACTGGAGACTGTGCCAATTTCTGATCAAGAACCTAAAGAGATTGTCAAGGAAAAGGGGTCAAGTCTTTTAACGGAAGTGGAAAAAGAAAATGATTCACCTAAATCTACCGAAACCGAGGATAAAGGACTACAAAATTCACAGGAACTTTTTGAACACAGTGGATCACAAAAGAAAGATCAGTTAACAGACTTAAAAGATGATTCTGTGAAAGATAATTTGGAAAATAAACAAATATGTGACAATAATGTGACTGATATAAAGGTTAAGAATATCGAAGAAGCTTCCAATGAATGTACTCCTGCCAAATCTGCAAATGAAAGATCAAATGTAACAATGCCTGTAAATGTTGCACCTAATGTATCCGTCAAAAAGGGGAAGAGGAGAAACAATACCTTGAGCGAAGAGGAAGCGTGTACCGAAAAGAAATCAAAGCTGTCGGAAATAAGGATCGACGTATCCTCCGGTGGAGTTCAAGACTTCAGTACGAAGAGTCCAAAATTGCATTCTCCTCTGTCTACATCGCCCAGGAAAAAAGACAAGAAGAGCATCGAATGTATAATTAGTCAACTTAAGGAAGAGAAAGGGAACAGTGGGGAAGCGAAAGAGGAATTAGTGAAATCGGCGAGCTCGCCGGTTGTCATAGACGTTGGATCGTTGAAAAAGAAACTTTTACAGAAGATCAAAGGTCGCAACTCGTTCAAAGGGTCTCAGAGTGGGCAACAAAAAAGTGACATTGTAATAAGCAAAGACAAAACCGTTTTGGATAGTGAATCTGTGCATACAGACGCAGCGGTGGTTCCAGTTGAATCTGATGCCACAGAAGTCGAAAATGGAAGTAGCATTGTACTTACAAAAGAATTCCCTACTACAACTGTCATTTCCAGCGAGGTAAAACATAATATCGCTGAGGAACAAGCCGACGAAGTACCTTGCAATGAAGACAGTGCACCAAATGTACAAGAGTCTGAAATGAATGAAACAGAAAATGCTAGGAGGGAAACTGAGCTTGTGGAAGTAGGAAATGATAATGTCCAAAATTCAACTTTAGCGGAACCTGTAATAATTACGAATAATTCTGTTAAAGATAATTTGGAAAACTCCTCAATGACCTTGGAAGAATCGGAAGTTAGCGAAGTTCGACACGAACATTTTGACAGTCCTTCAGTAAAAGATACGGAGGACGAAATTACTGTAAAAGATCCTCCTGCAACAGATAAAGAATCAAAGGAACCCATTTTTTCATGCACTACCGATATAAGTGGAGTCTTTAGCGACGATAACGAGAATAAATCCGTTATTGAAAGCGAAACATCCAACGCTATTAAAGAAACTTCAGAAACCGCGGATTCGTCTCCATTAATAAAGCTTGACAACACTTCTCGACATTCACCGGTTGAAATTCTCTCCGAGTGTATGCCCTTAACTGTCGCCGAACAGACGAAACATACTGAAAATTCAGTCGTGATACCGATTTCAAGCTGTTCACTACCCATNCAGAAACCGCGGATTCGTCTCCATTAATAAAGCCTGACAACACTTCTCGACAATCACCGGTTGAAATTCTCTCCGAGTGTATGCCCTTAACTGTCGCCGAACAGACGAAACATACTGAAAATTCAGTCGTGATACCGATTTCAAGCTGTTCACTACCCATGGACACTTCGAAAAACTTGAAAGATATCGATTCATTCGATCAACCCAAAAAATCATTCTCCAACAGTTGCTTAGAGATTTCACCAAACAAATCCATAGAATCCGTTAATTCGTGCGTCGAAGACTTTGAACCGGCCAACGTGGACTCTAATTTACTCAACTTGTGCGATTTAATGCTACACGTGGATTCCGTGGGGAATGTGACCCGTCGCATAGAGGAGAGCGTCTCTTCTGAAACCGTCTGTATGTTGTCGGATATAATCTCGACGACTATCAGCTCGACGAACAACAAACTGCCTTGCGTGACTTCCGCGACCACCATCAAATTCACGTTTCCCGTCACCTCCCAAGCCGACATTAAGGACCAGCTAATTCCAATGAACGAAGTCGATACAAAGAAGGGTATTTTCGACGACAGTCCAGTGTCGACGGAAAAACTTCCGCCCAAGAACGGAAGCTGTNACACTTCTCAACAATCACCGGTTGAAATTCTCTCCGAGTGTATGCCCTTAACTGTCGCCGAACAGACGAAACATACTGAAAATTCAGTCGTGATACCGATTTCAAGCTGTTCACTACCCATAGACACTTCGAAAAACTTGAAAGATATCGATTCGTTCGATCAACCCAAAAAATCATTCTCTAACAGTTGCTTAGAGATTTCACCAAACAAATCCATGGAATCCGTTAATTCGTGCGTCGAAGACTTTGAACCGGCCAACGTGGACTCTAATTTACTCAACTTATGCGATTTAATGCTACACGTGGATTCCGTGGGGAACGTGACCCGTCGCATAGAGGAGAGCGTCTCTTCTGAAACCGTCTGTATGTTGTCGGATATAATCTCGACGACTATCAGCTCGACAAACAATAAACTGCCTTGCGTGACTTCCGCGACCACTATCAAATTCACGTTCCCCGTCACCTCCCAAGCCGACATTAAGGACCAGCTAATTCCAATGAACGAAGTCGATACAAAGAAGGGTATTTTCGACGACAGTCCAATGTCGACGGAAAAACTTCCGCCCAAGAACGGAAGCTGTTTGTTTTCGCTTAACGAACGAATGGACGATGCCAGCTCTAGGACGCTGTCATCCTCGAGTATTTCGTTGAATCTGCAGGAAGTCGACTTTAGCAAGATCCCCATTGATAGCAGCCAGGCTTTCGATTTAATTTCCCCGAATTCCATGATCCAAACTTCCGCCAGGAATAACTTCATAAATGAAATACCCGGCGATAATGAAGTTAGCGGCATTATGGAAACCAGGAGTTCTAATACCATCGATCATAACTACACGATGGAGCCCCTGGGTTTTTTTTTTATCTGTTGTCTGTTTATCGTGTCGCACTATGGGGGTCAAGGAGAAATTTAATGTATATTTTTTTGTTTTGAAGCTATCGAAGAGAAACTGAAAATTTAAAATTTTCCTTTTATTTCACTTCAACGCCTACTAGGACAAAGCTTTACTTTGTACCTACTGGAGTAGGTCGCTCTGTGAGAATTAACCTATAAAGTATGTTATATCTTAAATGTCACAATACCATTAGTTAAAAATTATTAAGATACTTTTTTATAAAGAATTTTGTTATCAATTCCCACGACTTTGCTTTAATTTCGTTGTCCTTATAACCATAATGCGGTTCGAAAAATGGATGCAACAAAATACATTTTCACATAAACATAATAGTGGAGTCAAGATAGATTTTGACTTCGCGAAAATTATGGATAGAGACAACTTTTTATTTTTCGCTTTGTAAAATGGTCAGAAACAACATATAAAGAGTTACCAACTGTAGAGTGTACGTTAAATTATTTATTTAACAAATTAGTTGCAAAATTACAGTTTTTGCAAAATATATTAAAAAAATATAATTAAAAAAAAAAAATTAACTGTGCCATTCGAAAGAACAGGAAATTTTACATAAAAAATGTTAATAAAGTTTTTTTCTAAAATGCGGATTGAAGGCTGTAGAATTTTTTCTCTTACATACGACAAATGAGACGGGCGGCCCCCAAGTATAGCTCTCGAAAAGCGCGCGGCCCCAAGCACGCTACACTAAATTTGTTATAACTTTTGATCTAATTGATCAAATCGATCTCACACAAATTTAAATAAAAGAAGAGTCATCCGGCTATCAGAATTTTATGTCTTTAAACTTGAGAAAAAAATATATAGGTATAGTACGTATACAAAGTTACGTCATTCTATAATTTTGTACAATAATAATAAAATAGCTGTCATTCTTTTAATTTTTAAAATTAATATCTGTAACTTTCACAGATTACTCTTCAAATGACGATTGAAACAGTGAGCAATATGGAAAAAAACTTAAAAATTTAATTTGAAAAATATTGAGCCCAACATATTCAATAATTTTAAAAAATCGCAAATTTGACTTTTTAGGCCATACTTTATAGATCAAAAGCTATAGTTGTAAATGTGATATTGAAACTTTATGAGAGCACTTTTTAAAGCTTATAATCTCTACTTTAAGATGGTGCATTTTATTTTTCTTAAAAAATTAAATAATAGTTGAAAAAACAAAAAGTAACATAAAATAAAAATATTTCATGAAAAATTCGTGAAATTTATTGTTAAATAAAGTTTAGTAATGTACAAAAATTATTTTTTTTGTTTAAAAAACCATCAAAGAATTAAGTTAAGAACTTAAAAAAAGTAAATCCAGCGAAAAATAATTTTTTTATTTATAGTAATAAGTGGAAAATTGTTATAACAGCAAAAAATAACGTTTTTTAATGAATTGATTTAATATTCATTTTTAAAACGTATATTCTGTAGCCTTGCTTGCAAAGGGGAATTTTGAAAGTTGTTTTTCTTGTCAGTTTGGGTGACAAAGCTAAGCAGTGAGCACACCAGATATTTTTTTGTTACAGTTCCATTTATCTTAAAAGCATTTTTCGTTTATAAGAATTAAATAATTATTATTATAAATGGTATAAGAATATGATTTTTATGTTTTTGAGTAAGCTGCAGTTATCAGTGTGTTAAAAAGTGTATTATTCACATATTTTGTCTATTTTGACAGTATACTCTCGTACACTTGTAATTATTCTTTAATGTAATATTATTACTTAATATTACAAATAATCTTCAATTTGCATTTAAGGTATTTCTATTCGTTTTCTTTTATGCCAAACCTGTAAATGTATTATGAGTTTAATATTTAAATATGAATATTGATCCATTTTTAAAATAATTAATGAATAAATAAATAATAAGGGACGTTGATTTTGATTTTGTAATTTTGTATTTGTTTTTTTTTTTCAATTTTATTGGCTTAAAGTTTAATTGCCCAGTTATTTTTGAACTCGATGAGATTTAAAAATTAATTATTTTGTAATTTTGTTCTTTAAAAAATAAAACACATTTTCAATAAAATCCCTTTAGTCATTTATAATTTTCATTTTTTGAACCTCTATATTAGAAATATGAGCGAGTTTGATTTAAAATCGATAATTGTTAAATAAATTGTTTAAAATAGTCCGCCATATTGGATCAGCCATTTTGAATTTTCATATTTTGACATCATATTCTTCTTCAGTGACGTCTATATTGTCAATTTGAAAGAATTCGATTTAAAATTCGTCGAATTATTTTAAATGTTCTTAAAATAACTAATTATTATTGTTTAAACAATTAAAAAACAATTAGCGTACAAAAATAAGTTTATAACTTTTTTCTAATACTTATCTCGAAGTAATTTCAAATGGTTTTAGAAAAATCCATGCTTCCCATAATTATTTCGAAATAATGCGTAATTTTAAGCTATCTTGACTCCACTATAAAAGTAATTAAATTTTCTAGGTGGTCCCCTGTTAAGCGGAAGACCAGAGGAGGAACACATTTTCTCTTCGGCTTTTAACAAGAATCTAGTGGATTCGCCAGGAGAATTCCCTCTGAACGACAATCAACTACCCAGCGAATTGAGCGAATCAGACGACACATACAAACTGAACCTAGACAACGAGTACGCGGTTAAAAATTTAGTGATGCTGGGCGGACAAACGTCGGACGTAAACTCCTTTCCGTTGTCGAACTATAACTTGTCGGATATCGAGAGGATGAATCTCATCGAAGACAGCATATCCAACTCGGAAGACAACAGCAACAGTTTGGACACGGCCAGTTTGGTAACGTCCATGGACCACGAATCGAGGGACATCCCCAGTAACGTGACTGCTTGGACTCAGTTCATAACCGACGAAAGTTCAAATCAAAGAGGTACGGTTCTGTCCTGCGGGCCCCGTCTTACTTCGCCCTTTTCTATTTCCCAAAACGACATAATTCGGCCCGTCACTCTAACCGCTCCTTGTTTCGATGAAGACACCCTGTTGAAGGAATCTCCCGGCGCAGAATTAAAAATGCCCGTCAAAGGTTCTTTGGGACTGAAGGAAAACGATCCTTGGGCACGATTTATAGCCAACGAAAATCGGACTCAAAAAGTCGTCGTTTTACCAAACGAGCAGTACCTTACGTCGTCATTTCCGATTTCTCAGAGCGATTTCATAAGTCCCCGTGTCGATAACGAAATAATACTGGAAGAGACGTCTGACTTAAATCTGGATAACGAACAAACTAGATTAGAAACGTCTAAAGATGTGAAAAAAACGACCGGCGCAGATGTTAAAATTGAGCAAACCAACAAATCGAACGTGAAGAGAAGTAAAAAGCCAAAGAAAGCGACTCAGAAGGAAGTACCGCGTAACGACGACTTTCTCCCGAAGAGAACGTACAGTCGGACTGTTTTAAGGGCGCCACTCAAGAAAAACGTGTCAAGTTCNCTCTCTTCAATTGGAATGTTTCGGCTATGTTTCACTAAGTTTTCAAGTGCTACATTCCTGTAATAAAACAGCAACGTTTCTAGTTATTGTTTCAAATGTGTAGTAAAACAGCTCATTTGCAACGTTTCATTTACGTTTCGTGTTTAGTGGGTAACGAGCGAGTGGTTCCCTTTTTTATAATACTTAACGTATAGGAGTTAAATGTAGACAACAATACTTGCACATTAAATATTTTTTATTCATGTTTGGCAAAATACAACTATATACACCGAACGCTAGTAGCTTCCGCTTGATTAATTCCGATATCCAGCCACTCACTTCGCCACGCGACCAAAAACAAACCCATCACGAAACCATCAGCAACGCCACACATTCAACAAATTACAAATCTATTGTTTGCAGCTGTCACGCAACCCAAAAATGAATGAGAGGGGTGTACAAGGAAAGGGTAGTTTTAATATATATCTCAGGGCTCCGGGTGGACTTGTTGCGCATGCTTGTACGGTGACGGACGCTCGGCGTCTAGACCCCTTCAGACTGCTCGACCGTCAGGACGCTACCTAAAGCCGTGCCTCTCTGATAACGACCCATTTGTAATTAGTGACAAGTGTTTCACCCCCTCAGTGCCAATGCCGGTCCTCTTCTTCGGGCATTGAGCTATGCTGGCTTCCCGCTGACTACCACGTCGTCGATCTGCTGCGGTAAGTCACTTCAGTTTTTAGCTCATGTTTTGATTTCAGCCGGATTGGAATCGCGAAGAATTAATTGCCCATCATTAAAAAAAATGTGTTTCTGTTTAATTGTAACCTAGTGTTTCGAAACGAACAATTTATTTATGAGCAAGGGAGCAATAACTATGTTTTAGCTCTTATCTTATCAGTAATCTACGGTTCAAACAATCAACAGTTATTAAATACAACGCTGTGATTTACATTTACAACACGACATTATTAACTATTCATAAAGTTGCCCCTTTTGCGAGTTGCATGTTTAATGCGCTGTCTTTAATCTAATTTTACAAATTTGTTTAATTGTTCTGCACCGGATTGTTTTAAGCTACAAAAAGAGGCGATTAAAATATATAAATAGACTTTAAGTAGCCGTCATTTATTAAACTAGCCACTGTATGTTTATATTTCTATGTTACGATAACAAAGCTAAGCGTCACTGCCAAAAAATTGTAGGTACCTACGTCGAGCAAACGAATGTTTTAAATTTGGAGCAAATTTTTTACATGGAAAAGTAAAAATCTATAAAAGCTCCATATAGTTTTGAAATATAAGCCGAGTTGTGTGACTTTTAGTCAAGTACATCGATTACAGTGTCAAGTATGCTAAATTCGTATGCACTAATTATTATTATTATGCTTCACCATGTATATTAGGCAACTCTTTATGTAGATCCGTGATTTCCTTGATTTTTGTGTTCCCATCTAACATCGTCGTCATTAATTTCTTAATTAATTATTAGTACGTTATATTTTTAAATCTTTCGAATTTTACTCTATGATTATTATTAAATTATCCACAACAGTGGGAAAATATTTAATTTTTGAAAATTTAAAATATTTTTAACTTCAAGATTGTCTGTCAGACAACTTACTGGTTGTATCAAAACTTTTCATTTCAGGAGCACGAAAACAAGAACACATACTTTACTTTCCAGTCGATTTTAATTTTGGAGAGGCGGTTTAATTTAGACTAAATTGAAACATGCTTTTCACTAATAAAAACTAGTTTACTTTACTGAAAGCCAAGCGCTTTCTAAGTTAAAGACGCCCAAACAGATCAATAGGTTTTGAACACAATTGCGTTGGAAAGTCAAATGAGTAGGATCGTTTCCCATATTCTTTTATTTTTTATTAAAATTGTGCTATGTGATTTTGACACACAATCTTAAATACTTCACCATCACTTTTGACTGTTTTTGGTAGTGCCATCTATACGACATGGATGGATCCCCTAGCTTTTATTTGCTTCTACCCTTCTGTGAAATTTTCTTCTCGAAACTTCTTTACNGGTAAAAAATCGGACGTCCAAAGTGCTCCCGAGCTTACAAAACAATGGAAAGACCCAACAAAGTTGCTTACCGACGTTTCAGAAGAGAAACCAGCACAGTTGTTAATCGACACGACGGATAAAATACCGGACGTTCACTGCAACATCGCCGAACTCGTGAAGTTCCGAAAAAGGGGCGTCAACAACAAATATTCTAATAACAACTCCCCGTCACCCGCGAAGGAATTAAGATCTGAAGCGGGGAAATCCAAGAAAATACCAGAAAAACCGTTGACGTCCGCACCTAAACCGGAATTAACACCGCAAGAGCCTAAAGGCCAGCACAGGGACCAGAAGAGCCCCACCGGTCACTTATTATTAGCTAAATCGTACACCCCGAAACATGAGCCCGAGGGCAGGACGCCCCAAGCTCAAACTAAACCCAGCGTTAAGGAAAACAAATTAGAAACGGTTATTGCCGCGGAAAATAAATCCCACGCCGCCTTGCCGCAGCCTTGTCAAAGTAAATCCAACCACTCGATAGAGAGCATTCTGAACAAGGAACCCAAGTCGAGCACGAGCTACCTAACCGGGGGTTTAATTAAGGACTACAAGTCCTTGAAGAGCCAAGGAGTGAAGAGAACGTTAACGACCACAGGAAACGACGGAACGCAAAAGAAACAGATTAAAGTAAATTATCCCGAACAACGACAATCGGACAACAACATCGACAAAACGTTCGATAACCTCCTCCAGCAGGGAAACGTCAACAAACTGATACTCCTGAGGGTGACGGAGGACAATAAGCTGAAGCCGGAGAGGAAGTACAGCCCATCGTTGAAACCGGGCGGCAGTCAAAATGCGAGTAACCTACCTGTCAGGTCCCGCAGCAAGAGTAAGGAGCTGAACGAGGCTACCAAGAAAGAAATTGAAAGGAGAACTAGCCTGCTGATGAAACAGCACGGTAAAAGGGACCTCGAGGCATTCGACAAGTTGAGGATGGACAGGGGTAGCCCGTCGGTGAAACTAGACGGTAGGAGTAAGGAACAGAAGGAATATAATAAACACAGCTGGTCGAGGGAGGGCGGTAGCGGCAGGACCAAGACCCGGGAAGATTCAAGGTCGTACGGTTCTCTCAGAAGCGACAAAGGACGGGATCAGTACCATTCCGATTATAATAGGAGGAGGGAAGCGTATTATTCTGATCACGTTCGGGGGAAAGAGGGGCATTATTCCGGGCACGGGGGGCGGAGGGACGGGCATCACTCGAACCATCCTCGGTCGAGAGAGCACCACTTTGAGCACGGCAGCGGCAGCGTACCTCGAAGTTCTGGTTCGGCGCACCCGGCCGGCGGAAGGTAATATATACAGTTATATTTATTTTTAGTCCAACCAAATTACACTTGAAGAAAAAAAAATTGTTACTTGGACTTTTATGAGTGGAGATGGTAAAAGGGCTTATAATAAACGTAAAAAAAATAAATGCGTGTGCAGGGGTGGCGAAGGGTTGATTTGGGGGGTTGAAAAGTTATGAAAAATTGTATCTTTGGGATTTCTGGTGAAAGTTGATGTCAAACAAAAAAGTATCCAATACAAAAATTGTAGATCATGAAAAAATATACAACTTTTGTAGAGGTCACTTTTTAACATAACCCCAAAATTTCCGAGAAAAATGCGAAAAACAGGTTTTTTCTGAATTTTCGTTTTTTATTTCTCATTTCCTCAAAAATAATTTAATTTTGACGAAACTTGGTGAAAATATACCTTTCTGTGTCTTAAATAACCTCAAATTTGTTTAGATAAAAAAAATCAAGAAGTTTCCGAGATATTAATTTTTTCCGGTCTGAAACACTTTTTTTTCAAAGAAAAATTCTACTTAGAAAAATCATCGTACAGAGTTCTGCCGGTGATAATTTTTTTCGTTTTGACATATACTCTGGTGAAATAAAAAAATATGTAATCACAGTTCAAAAACATGCTCAAAAATGAAAAAAATTAATAAAAAATGGCTTGCAACACTGAATTTTTCAGTAATTGTTGATAATTTGTTTAAATTTAAAAAAATTCAAAAACTGATTACACCATTCAATTCTACGGAAAAAATACAAAAAAAACCGTTTCTCATTGTTTGACCCAAAATTTAATTTTAGTACAGTATTGCTATAAACATACTTATAAGTAGAATTACAAATGCTCAAATGATAAATTATCTCTGGATGATTTGAGATTTCAGCATTACAAAGTATTAACTGCAAAGTCTACTGTTGACGCGAAATTCGAAAACCCGAAATTTTGCAAAATCGTTTTATTTTTCTTTCTGGCTTTATTTGAAAACGAATTTTAAAATAAATTGCACATTTACAAAATCTAGTCATTTTTAATTCTGTATTAGATGATATTACTATCGTAATCAGTAAAAAGGTTTTTAGATATAATTTAAAATTTTTCCTGAGTACGGCTCTGAACGCTTTCAAAATATCTATTAAAAAAAAAAACTAGTCATAACAGTATAAAAGTCAAAACAGCACAAAATATCCAACATTTTTTTTAAATCAACTATTTAAAAAGTTGTACCTAATAAAAAAATAATACGAATTTATGAAATGTTTTATTATTTTTAATTGTTTAATATTTTAATTTAATTTTTAATTTATTAATTTATTTAATTAAATTTTTATATTTTTTTATTTTTTAATTTAATTTATTTTATTGCTAATAGTAGTAAAAAAAATTGTTGTATATTTTGTGCTATATTGACTTTTATACTGTTATGACTTCCTCAAATAGATATTTTGAAAGCGTTCAGAGCCGTACTCGGGAAAAATTGTATATGATAGCTAAAACAAGCTAAATACTTTTTTTATAATTATTAATATTACAATAGTAATATTATCTAATTCAGAATTAAAAATAACTTTAGATTTTGTCATAAAAATAGCAGCGACATATTTAAAAAAATTAACCTGATGATGGCCCCTCGAAGTCGAAACGTCGGATTGCAAAAATGTTGTCGCCATTGTATATAGCGAAAAAAGTGGCATTGTAAATATGCAATTTATTTTAAAATTCGTTTTTAAATAAAGCCAGAAAAAAATGAAAAAATTTTGCAAAATGTTGGATATCTCCGGAACTACCCGGAATTTTAAAACTTTCTAAATGCGATATTATTAGGTATAAAAAAACACATTTTTACACAGAAAAAAAAATTATTTATTCACTATTCGACTTGTTTATAGCAATACTGTACAAAAATAAAGTTTTGAGTCAAACAATGAGTTTTTTTTGTATTTTTTCCATACAATTGAATGAATCAGTTTTTGAATTTTTTTAAATTGAAACAAATTATCAACAATTACTGAAAAAATCATTGTTGCGTCATTTTTTTTTTTTGCTTTTTCGAGCATGTTTTTGAACTGTGACTACAGATTTTTTTTATTTCACCAAAAATTATGTCTAAACGAAAAAAATAATTACTAGTAGTACTCTGTACGATGATTTTTCTAAGTAGAAGTTTTCTTTGAAAAAAAAAAAGTGTTTCAGACCGGAAAAAATGAATATCTCCGAAAATTCTTGACTTTTTCATATAAAAAAATTTGAGATTATTTAAGACAGCAAAGTATACTTTTACCAAGTTTCGTCAAAATTAAATTATTTTTGCGGAAAAGAGAAATAAAAATCAGAAAAAAAAACTGTTTTTCTCATTTTTCTCGGAAATGTTAAAAAGTAACCTCTACAAAAGTTGTAGATTTTTGCATGATTTACAACTTTTGTATTGGATACGTTTTTGTTTGATGTCAACTTTCGCCAGAAATCCCAATGATACAGTTTTTCACAACTTTCCAACCCCCCAAATCAACCCTCCGCTGCCCCTGCTCACACATTTATTTATTTTTTCCTTTATTATAAGCCCTTTTACCATTTCCACTTATAAAAGTCCAGGTAACAATTTTCTTTTTTTTTCCCTATAAATGAGTTATTTCAATCGGTCTATTTGTTTGTGTAAGTTTGTTCTCTTGAATTCCCTAATTTTTTCTGTTAAATCTTTCTTGATTCATTTATTTAATCTTTTTAACAATGTAAAGTAAATGTTATAAGATGAAGCGGTGGCATATTTTTGCATGGCTAGATTGTGGTTGTCATTTCCCATCAGGTATATTAACATTATCCAGTTCTCCTAAACTAGATCAGCATCAGAGGTCATTGACATCGATATTCACAAACTAAACAGTGCTTTAATAAAATAATAACATATTTTTTATTGAAAACATCAATTTATATATCTGATCAGTTTAGTTAAGTATTTTTATTTATTTTTTATTATGTACGTTTTATAAAACGGTAACAATAATTGTTATAAACTATGTATTTGATTGAACGAATGATTTGATGTAGGAAAATTGTTCCTTTCTATGACTAGGTCCTCCAACGTATCGGGGTCCTACTATAAGTCCGCTCACGTGAACCAAGGCGAAGAGCAATCCTCTCACCCGGGTTCCCGGCACAGCTCGGGCCCTTACACGAAAAGGGGCGCCACCCTGACGGAAGAGAAGCAAAACGAACTTTTAAACGCACTCCGCGACATAGTCCATAAACAGTTAAATAATAGCGGTCTTAAGAAAAGCAGCGCCGAAGAAGATAACGCATGGATCGACAAGCTGAATCAGTTCTACGAGACACCCCAGTTTATTCCACAGCCTTCGAGTAAGTATGTTTGAATTTATAAAATCGTCATTAATTAAAAAAAAAACATCTGCAGCCGCAGCATTTTGTCTACATTCATCATATATTCTAGGTCCCCCAAGTGATCACAAATAGTAGAACGTCTGTTGGGAGTGTACCATGTATAAATATAGATATTTGTCGGATAGTTTTACCTGTAAATACTTATTTATTAGTCGTGTATATACGTTAGTTACAAAATTAAAGATGAGCGAGTATGTGATTGAACAGTTTTTAAATAGTTTTTAAGGTAACGAGTATTTGTACATGTGACGGTTCTCGATTTTTAAATTCATATTTATTATTTTAATCCGAGTTTTAATCAGTGATCTTGTCGATTCGTATTTATAAGTTTGTATATTGTAAATATAATTGTTAAAAAATGATATTGAAGATACTAGGTGGTTTTATTTGCCCTTTCCCTTTTACACAATGAATATACACGATGTGCCGCAATTATCCAGAAAAAACTCAACAACAGGTTTATGTGATCAAAAATAAAAAAGCTCCAATGCACTTGTCGGAATAATAATTACATGAAATTTTAGTACTATTTTATTTTCAAAAATTGGGGTTAAAATTAATACATTTCTGTTACCAGTTTTTTCAAAGTTCTATCACTAAATTTAAAAATATGAATTTTGGTCTTGGTGGACGATAGAATGGTTTTTGTGTAAAATCACTCCACGAACATTTCTCACTAAATCGAGGGTCTCGTAAAAGCTCACCAAACTTTGTTTTAAAATATGAAGAAAAAGTTGTAATAAACTCCCAAAAATACTTTAGAAGCTTTTTTAGAACAATATCTCTGTATATCTTATTTGTATAATGAATTCCCAATAATATTTAAATTAATAATTACCTAAATTTCGTGTTATCTGAAAGATTAATTCAAAATAATATATGAAACTATTTAAAATTTCCTCCGCCGTTAAAATTATAGGTGTGCCCTCTATCAGACATAAGTGAAATTATAGATATTGTAATGCCACTATGTGTGCCATCTACAGTCTCTAGATATGGTTAAAGACGACGTCAAGTTTTGTAGTGCCATCTATTGTGTGGATGACAAATTATCAATAGAATTCTGCAGCTCAGCTTACAGACAATATACAATAGGTGGCGCTTTGTGTAATGACAGCAGCGTCAACAGAATCCTAGATAAATGATACTATAGATAGGAAACTTGAACAGATTTCGTGGTCACTAACAGCGCTAACTGTTGACACTTTCTCCAACTTCTATTCCTTTCCTTGTCTAGGAATTATCGGTAATACAGTGAGTTAAATTACCTTTAGTCAGTAAAAGATGCAAGCGCCATCTAGTTGTACGCTCTACAACTATATACCTACCTACTCAATATTTGTTTTAGGTATTCTGCCGCCGCTAAATTTAAAATTACATAACAAATCTCACCCTACACAGATCACTCAGAAATTGATTTTGTAAAATAATTTTCACGTAGATAATTTTTTTTGTCACCATGAGAAAATAAGTACATTTGATAAAAAGCATTAAAATCACTCAAGCATTAAAGACACTTTTAAATGCTCTAATAGTCTTTCTACTTAAAATAAGAAATAATTTTGATACTGTAACTTTTTAAAATGTTTGTTGAAAAAATTTCAAATTT